GTAAAAAATTTATTTTGATCTCATACATATTTACTTAATATCACCTTTAATATACACCCCTCCTCTATCCTTACAATTCTCCATGGGAATCTCCTGGGAAGTCTTCTGCAGCAGCTCCTTCAGGACACATGCCACTCTATCTTTCAGCAGTGAGAGTGTAGTAATATTGATTAATATTTTGAGATTCAGGGACCCAGTAAAGTTGGGCTATTTCCTCTTTGTTTCAAGATAATAAGTAAAAACCACAATTCATCAATCTGCAATAAAAGTAACAAGATTTGAGCCCATTCAATCTGTGACAGAGAAAGCAGCAATGATCCTTAAGGAGCTGACTGAAGGCTTCCAGTTCTGTTTAAGAAAATGGAAGATTTCTGTGACGGATTGAACGGGATAGAAGATAGGTGTATATTGAAGGTGATAATAAGTAAATATATATGAAATTGAATAAAATGTTTTACAGTCTAGTTATTCAACACGATCTACAATAAAAATAATAATAAAAAGGTATGGGGTTAGGTAGAGAACCAAAACTAAATGATGGCTTTATTTCTTTTTCTTTCTCCTCAGAGATTGATATCTAGAGATGACAAAAAGGAGTATTTTCAGTAACAGGTACTACCACTCCAGCTCCAAAGATCTACCTATTACAAATACCTGGTATTCAAAATGTTAATGATTAGTATGCCAAGTCCCTTAGGGAAATGGGAAGGATTTTTTAAGACCATAAAAAAGGACACCATATCAGAACCATTTTTTATTTTTTATTTATTTATTATTGGCGCTACGGTCCTGTCAGAACCTGGGCCTCTCTTATGATCCTTCGCCAGTCTCCTCTATCCCGAGCGAGCATTCTTCATCTTCGTATTCCCATCCTTTTCAGGCTTTCCTCTACCTGGTCCAGCCATCTTAGGTTTTTTGGTGTAACACTGCCTCCAGATTATGAAGATTTTTTAGAAGTAGCAGCTGCACTCAAGAATAATAGATGTCCTGGTCTGGATAGTATGGATGCAGAGATGGTAAAGAATTGCGGAGAGCATTTGTTAAGAGAGATCTACAACTTAATGATGGAAGTCTGGATAACAGAACAAATGTCTAAAGAATGAACTACTGCTATCATATTCCCTGTTTTCAAAAAAATAGAAAAAACAAACTGCGACAATTATAGAGGCACTTCATTGTTAAGTAGAGTATACAAAGTATTTGCAGTTCTGTTGAATAAAAAATTTCAAATTAGGTCCAACAAGGTTTTGCGACAGAGTTAGAATTTTTGAAATGAAAAGTTTCAAACCAGGGCACAAAGGGAAAACATGGAAAAGACGGCAGCAAGTCAATCTACAACTTTTCTGATTCAACTTAGCTTGCACTGTTTTTAAGGAATGGTGAGCAACAAAATATCATGGGAGGGGAGGGGAGGTTCATGCACAATCGAACTTGGATGGGATGGGTATTCCTATCAGACACCATGAAAACTCAACAGCTGCACCTGATATTAGGAAACTGAGACAAATATCGATATTTTTAACCAATATTACTATATTGATATAAAAATTTGACTTAAAAATGTCTACAAAGAAAGCCATCTCACTGGCCATGACATAATAATCAGGTGCAGTGTAACACATCACACAACTTTCACTTACCACCCTCTTCTTAACAGAAATAAGTATTTTTCAGAAAGTATGGGGGAGTTTTTGAAGTTGGTGGATCAGCATGGCTGAGGAGTTTGACTCATCTGATAGTGAATATCTGGGAGACGAAAAAAAATGCCAGATAGCTGGTAAGGAATCTGTTTCATTCCTCTTACTAAAGAAGGAATGCTGCTTCCACAGGACTTTAATTTCTATCGCGGGACTTAGCTCCTATGAATACTGCTCAGAAAATTTTCTTCTGTTATTTTACATAAATCGAATTGGGATTGTGGCACCATTTTTAGTAAAATGACTCAAGTGCTGGAATTATGACGATGTGGCGCTGATTGGATGTTCCCTCAAGGCGATCAAGGAGGACTGTGAAAATGTTTGCAAAGAGAAGACTGGAAGAATGGGGATATCCATAAATGAGTAAGAACATAATTATGGTGCTCAGGAAGAAAACACCTATAAATCCGCCATGGCATTAGTTGTGGGACATTATGCGTTTCAATGCTGTGTCCAGTTTTAAGTACCTCTGCTCCATTGTTAATGATCAGGTTTTCGAAGAAGAAGAAATAAAAAATCGAGTAATGGGGGCTAACAAAGCATATTTGACCTCAAGACGATTCCTCCGGAGAAACTACTAAGTAGGGTTACCAAAAGTTTTCATCTGATCTTTACCAAAACAATCATCCGACCTGTACGACCTATGCTTGTGCTACCTGGACCTAGCAAAAGCCTGCTGATGAAAAGATCGATAGTTTTGAAAGAAAAGTGTTGAGGCGATCATGGGGGCCAGTTAGAGAGAAGGGTATATGGCATTTAGGAAGAACAAAGAGATCTACGACTAGACTTCTCATTTCAAGCGAATTCAATGCTTAAAATGGCTGGGACATATTATACAGCAATGGATAAAGGTAGAGCTGTGAGGAAATTATATTATGGAACCTCGGACTGGAGTCAGACCCAGTAGAAGACCAGAAGGGAAGGTGGAAGGATCCGTGGTCTGGAAGACTTGATGTGGTTGGGTTTCAGCAGACTTGCTACTGCCAGAAATGATTGGAAAGGACTGTTGAGGAGGGCCAATGGGCAGTTCAGGCGCCTGTCGAGCCAGATAAATAAATATAGAAAAAGGGGAGTGAATGTTAAATAAGTTGCTGTAACATCCCAAGCATATAAAAATCTTAAATATACAATTTCACTTTCATAGGACTTTTCATTTTTGATCTAGACTGTTAACACAGACCATTTTGCAGGACTTGGTTATTTCGACTTAGGGGATCTCAAAATATGTATTTTCATTGAAAACTGAGATTCAAAAATTTTCATGATCGCAATACTTTCCCTTACTATATATTTTATATACAGGTAAGTGAAGTAAAAATGAGACTATTAAAACACAATACCCAAGTGTTTATAAAGATGTAAGAACCTACAATATCCTGTTGCTTTAATATTCTATAGATACCTACGGTAACTAAATCCTTATTGTTATCTTCCAATCTCTTGAGGAGATTAAACAGGTTTTTGTTGAGTCTGAATGCTATTCTAATGGTTATAGCCAGTGCCGGCCTTAGACATTTGATGGCCCCCGGCATCAACTCTTCCAGAAAATTAGATTTACTTTTTTAAGCTGCTTTATATTAAATAATATTTTATTTCATTCAGCATGTCTACAATTCAGTTCCTTTATTAATAGGCTAAAATTAATTATTCTCATACACTTTATAATTTATGTTTTAATCCTAACGAGAGAAGGGCACCTCCCCTTCGGATTGGTGTCCATGGGCAATTTCCCCGCTCTAAGACCGGCACTGGTTATGACAATATCTGGATAGTAATGGATCCAGAGCAATGTTAAGACAAAAGTGGCAGTAGAGAAGCACTTTACAAAAACTTGTGTTAGGTGGAAGATGGCTCAGATTTAGATGAAGAGCCTGCTGAGGATGAAAGCAGATCCCAGACACTCACGAAAGCTCTTCTTTATCAGTCACAACAATACATTATTAAATCCCTTTTCTGATGTTGGTTCACTGAAATAAACACTATTAGTTCCAAATGACGCTTACTATTGATATATTTAAGCTATATAGATTAAACTAATGAGCAATTTTTATATAAATATATATATATATATATATTTACTAGTTGGCCAGTGCTAACAATTCAATATATAGAATAATGTGCGCACAACACACAACTTTCACTTACCACTCTTCTTTGAATAGAAATTATTTTCTGGCTATTATAAAATTTTTGAAGTGCATTTTAAGCAGAGCTTAAGTTGAAAGCTTACAAATACCAAATCATTAAGACCATTAAAATTACAAAAAGTCTATTTAATATATATCGTATAAAAATCTAGTTTCTCCATCTGCTTTTATATACTGCATAACTTCAACCTCTGAGCCTTTCAGTTGACAGAATGACTAACTCAATTTTCAACATTTTTGAGTAATGTCATTTTAGTGATATTTCTAGTTGGAAAAGTTATACCTATACAGACAGTGAGGAAGTTGACCAGAGAAGGTGATTGCAGAGTTGAAATGTAGAAGTGTGAATAAAGGTATACATTTTGCCACTAGGAACATCACGAAAATTAATAATAAAGAATGTTCAAATCGGAGTTAATCATTCTGTCAACCAAAAGGCTCATATATACCTAGAGAGATTTGAAGGTGCATCTGAATATTTAACCTATAAATAATTATGTATTGTAGGACTATTAGTAATTAAACTGTTATTTTCCATTATAAAGTTTACTAAAATGATATTACAACATTTTCATTGCCTGCAGTGGACAGGTCAAAAGTTGTCAGACTAATTGTAAATGGATAATGTTAGGCTTTCACAAAGGAAAATTCATCAAATTATTCACTAATTTAATTTTCTAAAAGATTACTTGGTATAAATCAAAGTGTAATATTGATACATAGATTAGCTCTTCCGGTAGGTAAATTTAAACGACAGATGCTGTAACATACTTACTTTAAACATGTAACTTCAGTTCCATACAACTTTTCGTTTTTGTGCTAGACAGTTCAATAACACAAAGATCATTTTGGTAGACTTGGTTTTTTGGACTCAGGGGAACTTTTAAATGTTCATTTTCGTTGAAAACTGAGAATCATTTTTTTTTTCTTATTATATACAATATATATATTAGTGAAAATAAAAAGTGGACATTGAAAAATAAATGGTAAAAGATTTTTGAAAAAAATAAATTTATTCAATATTATTTGTAATTCACAGCTCATTCAAAGATTTAATGGCACTTGAAGAAATAATGTAAGATAAACTTTACTACATAAAAATATATATATAAACAAAAATATAATGAGAAGTAATAACGATTGAACCAATAACACAAGTTGATCCAAGTATCATCAATAATATCTTACTTCACATGGTCATGTTACGAACTGCCTGTGAGGTAGACGCTCCATTGGTAATTGTATCAGTCTTTATCACAACATCTCCAGGTTTAGTTTCTGTCAAAAATATCTCCTCAAGCTTTGGTAAACACTATGAAAAAAATAAAACAAAGAGATTGGCTTAATTTAAGCTTTACTATTCAATCAACTTTAATCTGAAGTGATATTTTAGACAATTTGCGATACTAGACTACAATTGTGTATAAACTAGTTGGCCCATACGAATAATTTGCACAGAATATTGGCTACTGAACAAACAATAAAATAATAAGGAAATGATATAATGGAATGCGTCATAACATGAAGGAATCAATTATTTTCTCTGTATTGTAATCACCGAAGAAAAGAAATTTTTTTAAAAGACAATTTTTTCAGCCGTATCCATGCTAATACGGTGTATAAAAAAAATGACCGTATTTCAACCAAATATTAGTATTTTTATTTCTTTGATATAAAATACAATTAATATTCAAAGTATAGTCCATTGTTATATACCGTCATTAGCCATCTGCTAGCCAATTGTTCAATCCCACACTGATACCATTCTTGGGGATGGCTGTCAAAGTACTCCAGGACCGCAATTTCAACTTTCAAATTTTTCCCTTGAAGAAAATGGACAATGGATCTAAATAAGTAGTAATCCGATGGTGCGAGGTCTGGACTATATGGTGGATGAGGCAGGAGTCTCATATCAGAAGGATTTATCAATAAAGTTTCACAAATTTCTAACCTCTTAGCTGATTGCTGAGGAGTAAGTTCGTGAGGGACCAGTCTACTGCTCTTTTTCACCTTACCCATGGAGAATAGATGGCGACTAACAGAATCTTTCAACACACTACACTCCTTGGCAAATTCACGAGTATTCGTGATTGGATTAGACTCAACAGCTTCCAGCAGAGCCTCATCAATATCCATTAATGGTCGCCCAGAGCCCTTCCTTTCTGACATATCTCCACTGCTTAATTTTTTTAACCAATGCTGCGTAGTGCAAAGCACTGGTCAAGGACACCTTCCCCTTTATATTTAATAATTTTACTAGTTGCTTCAGCGGCTGTGAAATTTTTTTTTCAGTAATACCTTAAAATTACGAGAATTTCGTAGGACACTGTCATGTTTCTTCTTGGAAACAAATAACTTAACTGAGGCTTTTTTTTGAAGAAGTCAAATGGGATTAATCAAGTTTAGAGAATACTCTAAAGAGATTATTAAGTATTAAATAGGATTAATATATGTAAAGTCCTTTGAAATCTTGAATTTGATCAAATGGTCATTTTTTTTTATACACCCTATTAATAATAGCCCGATTTTTAATTTTTTCTTTCTTTCTGTAGGTACTTTAATAATCTTTTAAATAATCATAAATTAACAACAACAAAAAATGTATACTTTTTGAGTTATTTAAAATAAAGTTTCCTTTCCTTCATACTTTTTTCCCTGACATTTTGAGATGTTACTACTTTTCCACCTGGAGAAGATCTTCAAAAATATGGTTCAATCATTGCATACCAAAAAAAGACCTTTAGGAAATATTGTACACTGATAGATATTCTTTAAACCAGCTCTAATATCTTTGACACTAATTTACTTATTTGTTTACAATATTTACCTAAGAAAATTTATTACAATACAGTTTGCCCATGGTTATATTAATGACCGAGGGAATATATATTATATAAACATTAATATAATATAGATTAATAATATTATAATATATGAGGCATATAATTCCAAAACAAGTCAACTCATTTTCAAATTTTTTATTTTTAATTTTATCAATAAACAATTTTGGTACTATCAAGGAGTACATGATTTGTACTCTAATGATAGGTTAAATTTAATTTATCAAGGTCCATGGAATGACCATTAAGAATATAGGGATATTCATAAAAAAAAAAAAAATAATAATAAAAAAAGTTTAAAGTCATTAATGAAACAAGCAGATCTTTTTTTTTTTTTGTATATTTGATCCCATCTATAAACTCTTTATTAAAAATAATAATGCGACAAACTGGAAGATAATATTAGGAAAGAAAAAATAAATCTTGCTTAATATTGAATAATGATTGTATTAGTATCAGTAGGTATCAGTATATAAATTTAATTTGTAGTTTATTCTAGTTCCTATCCTGTATACAGTTTATACAGCTGACATCCCTACCTATCCCAACACTGTCATCACCACATATGCCGATGACATATATATCCTATCAGTAAATAATGACCCATCAATTGCATCCCAAATGCTTCAATCACACATCATAAATTTTGAAGAATGGTGTCAAAATTAGAGAATTAAAATAAACTCCAATAAATCCCATCAAATTACCTTTACCCTTCGTTGTAAACCAACGACTGCCTGTCCTACAGTTTCCTTTAACATTACTCTACTTATCCCTGTTGAGCAAATCCGATACCTAGGACTCCACCTGGACAAACGACTAATTGGAATCCTCATACTAGACTGAAATGACAAGAAACCGCTCGACGTTTCCGATTACTTCAGCACTTACTAGACAAACGCTATAAACTTCCCATTAATTACAAAAGACTCATATACTTGACTATAATAAGACCTATTTGGACTTACGGAGTTGAGCTATGGGGCTCCACTAAACCATCGAATTCCTCTCGCATACAATCCTTACAATCCAAAGTCCTTCGTAAAATCCTCAATGCTCCTTACTTTGTCACTAATAAAATTATCCATAAAGACCTTAATGTTCCTTATGTTTCAGATCTGGCTCAATCCAGATACCTATCCTTCCATAATAAACTTCAGAATCATCTCAACCCTCTCGTTTCTAACCTTGCTTCCTCTTCAATTCCTGATAACCCTCCGAGGCGTCTGGAAAGAAGATGGCCCGTGATCTCCTAATGTAGTCATATCATTAGAGTGCTACCATTGGGTAGTTACTCAGCAAGTGTATTCATGTCATTATATTTATTATGTCCAAACTTACTAGATGTATTTATTTAATACAGTTGTAAATGTCATTAAGAAATAAAAAAATAAAAAATTTTTAGTTTATATTTGTTGGTGGAACTAAAGCAAAACTAAATAACAAATATTCCAACTTTTTTCTCAACAAAACAAAAAACAATAAAACAAACAAAAATAACTAAAACAGCAACTTTACCTTATTGGGATTGACTGCTTCATACTGATGTCGTAACGACTGTATTTCAAACTCGCAGGTAGATATTGCTGCTTTTAGCTCACAAAGAAGATAAACATCGCTCCTTAAGTCATTGAAGTGTTGGCAAATCTCTTCAGTCGGTAATGGATTCAAATCTGGAAGGGAAAAAAATTATATGTACATTTGAGAAAAGTGAAAAAAAAAAAAATCTATCAGCATAAGGTAAATAAATAAAGAATTCCTATATCCTTTGCAAGTTGATCTAATCTTGTATGTGTCCATGGTAAGAAGTTCTGATTTTAGGAATGGACAAGGTAACTAGATAGAAAATATTCACAAAATAACAGGAATATTTTAATGAAAAGGTTTTAAACCAAATAGGATAAGCTAAGGAAATAAAAATAACATGTTAACAACTAGGAGAAGAAATACCAACATTTCTAATAAGTAGATTAAACCAGGATTGAGTTTGTGAGAGGTCAACAAAAATAAATTTAGTTACAGTCAAGGTCATAGAAATTGCATAACCGGGAAAAATGTTATTAAATATCATTTCATTTACCAGATTGCTATCTGCAAGATCTCCAGATATTTCTTTACCAGTTTTGAAATGATATTTTAAAAACAATCACACCATTAAGCGATCAAATTGTTTATTTGCTTTTTTCTCTTTTCAGTTTTTTTCTTTCGCTCCATTGGAGCCTTTTTTATTTTCTCAAAACTATGACTACCATTGATTGGTGGTACCCTATTATCGATCCTATTTCCCGTGAAAATTCATTTACTTTATTCATAAAATCTAAGGGAGATTTTTATTTACTAGAAGACCCCTGCGAAAAATTCTTATTCTTATGATATTCTGATCAAATGATAAATTAATAAGAAAATAAAATGATACAAGGTATCAAAAGCTAAAGAAATCAATTGTTACTTTATCGATAAATATAATCGACAAACGAAACAAAAATTAATTTAAATCTTTATTAATGTTTGGAACCAACACATTTACAAATTTTAATAACCTATATATTTTCTAAAAAATTGTCCATTTTTGATGATTTTTTTTCCTTTTGTAGGAACTTTAGTAATCTTTTATGTAATCATGTGCATAACAAAGGGAAAAATGTGCACTTTTTTAGTTATTCGCAAATAAAGTTTGTTTTCTTTCATAACTTGTTTGCCCGAATTTTCGAGGTGATTGGACTATTTTGCCCGCCTGAAGAAGGAAGCCTTTGAAATTGGTGGCTCAATCTTGAGATTTGGTGAAGAATTAAGGATGATATGGCTTGCCGATCAAAAACACCATCAATAAATAATATAAACTCCTTCTCTCTCGATCATAGAGACCTCAAGTCGAAGAAATGAGACATGTATTCAATGACAGTACTACAATTAATGTAAGGTTGCGTGGATGTGAACTCTATGCCTTGCATTTTCTCAAAAATAGTACGTTTTTGGGCTTAAAAACGCAGGATCCTTGCTGTAAGCAAAATCTTCAAGGTCCAATTTGACCCGTTTCGATCTACAGACCTACCATCGTTCCAGTATTGAAGCCTAGCAAAATGACTTTATTTATTTTAGAAAGAAAAACAAAAGTGGAGAATACGATTCGCTATCCCCCATGAAATTCTGAATCCAACGGTATCCCATTCATAGTATTTGAGCATGACATGAGTTTGCATTTGGTACAAAACCTATTTCAAGCCTTATTGTAATAATATATGTGGGGATATGTTATATGAAATAAAGTTAGGTAACAGTATACTCTCCCAAAAAAAAGTTGCAAGTCTGAAGATGGAATAATAAAGTGGATCCCGAAATGTCATAAAAATAAAGACATTTTTTTGGGAGAGCAAGCTGTTACTTGACTTTATTTCATGTAACATCACAATTTTAATATTTTTTGATGACAGTTTTTGATACAGGTCATAATTATAGTGTTTTTTCTTATGGAACCCCAACCGCTGCATAAAATGTTTTTTGACATCTGGAAGGTGTGCAGTTTTGTAGTGACTTGAATAAAAACATTCTTCAAATAATGCAATTTTTATGTATATAGGTCTCATCTTTCTATGAAATTTCAAAACGTTGCTGCTACGAATTGGCAGGCTAGTGCGAATGGAAATCTTTAGCTTTTTTCAAAAAAGCCACAAAAATTCAAATAGATTTTTTAAGCGGTCTGAAGGCAAGACAAAACTAACTAAGGAACGTGCAGACAGAGTGGTTGTTCGAAGGAAGATGGTGAGGAAAGTCAAGATTTTGATGGAGTGGCAAATGAGGCGCGGACTATGTTCCATATCAGAGACTGGAGCCTTAACTGAGTTGTAGGGCCTAACTGATAATTAAATAATTATACAAACCTAATTATTACATTACCTATATTAAACTCCGTAAGTTGTTGCTCAATGGCTTTCATCTTCTTCTGGCCAAGGGTGGTCGGGAATTTCATCCTTTGAGACCTTAATGTCACGCCACTCCCTTTAATATCTGGAAACTTAATACCCGACAGTTCGCCAAACTACAAACCAAAATCAAAATATTTAAATTATTTCTATGATTTAAAATATAAATAGAGCTAACGAAACATGCAATCCAAGAATCTTCATTCATCAATAACGATAACAAAAGTGCGATTTCTTCTCATGCCGGCAAAACAAAAGAACAAGAGATTAACTAGAATCAACTGCAAACGAAAACATTAATAAGGCAAATTAATATTAATATTTATACATACATGCTATTAATTCTTTCAATGTAGTTGGCAAAACACTTGATACATAATAAGATAATGCAATGTAAACTTTTTTTTTATAACATATTTCAATCAATCTTATAGAAGCACACAATAACTAGATTTTGTTATAAAAACATTTAACTGACACTTTAAAACATACTAACGTATATTAACATCTAAACAAAAAATATTTATTCTGAAACCACTAGTTGATTGGAAATTTCTTGGACATGGTTGTGATTTAAGGGTTCTATTTGTAGCCAGTTGTCCTGGACTTGAAAATAAAGTGTTACAAAGATATTTGGTCCAAAAAATAATTGAGTCCACTACACTTCACATTATAGATACATTGTAGCTATAGTGATGGTAGAAAAACGTAAATCCAGGAATAGAAATGAATGAATGAGGGGAGTTATTGAGAGAAACATTGATCATAATTATTATTCAAGAATAACAAAAATATTAGTCATTGTATTTAACAATATACATCATGAAAGTTATAAAATATTTACAATGGGGGTATTCTGTGGAAATACGAAAAAAAGTCATATGACCAAAGTTGTGTATATCTTTTACTTCAATAAGCCTGTGTTTATTCCTTTTTATTTTCCTATCTCTACGAGGTAAGGAAAGTATTGTGGTCAGTTCAAATTTCCGATGAGTGATTTTCAACAGATCATAACCTTTCAGAGCACCCTGAGTCCAAAAAACATATTTTCAGTCATTGGATTGTCCGTCTATCTGTGCCAAGATTATTTCAGGAACGAGAGGACCGATTTTATTGCTTCTTTTGACCAATGACTTTGAAATGATTAGGGCTCAATAAGAGAAAAACACTTTTTTCCAGAGACTGAAGCACAAAAACAGCTTTAATGGTTTTAATGAAACTGTCCTATAATCTTCTGCTTAAAGGCCTTTCAATTTTCATACATATAGTGAATTCCCAAAAAGATTCAGAAAAAAAGGTTATAAGGATAAGAAAAATCTTCTGGGCCTAACTATCGTACTCTAATCATTTCTCTGTTCTGTTTTCAAGAAAATTAATCTAATTCTATTTTTTTATTTTATTTTTGTTCTGTACTATAACGCTATGTTGAGGGATCATGGCAACCTATCATGCTTCTATTTTAAATCAAATGAAGAGATCAAAATGATTTCCCACTTACAAACATTTATTTCAATAACTTGCAAACATGCTTGATGATCATAATATAACATGCTCAATAAAATTAATTACATGCATATTAAAGAGGAAAAAATTAAGTAAAAAAAATTAATTTTTTTTTTTATTTTTTAATTACTAAGCTGTGGAGATCCACACAAAACAAAATTAGAATGAGATAAATTTGCAATCAGTTTTCTTGATCGCAGTTTCATTGCAACAAATCTTGAGGTTTTTAAAAGTATTCAAAATTTTTACACTTCTCAAATAGAAATACAGGCCTATACATATATTATAATTGTATTGCTTTTAATTTGATTTGACCATGAGCTCTAAAGCATTAATAGCAAATATAATAATTTCCAACAATAAAATAATTTATCATTCCTTTGCCACTGAAAACCTTTAAAAAACTAATAAATTAGCATGCAATTTGTTAATAACGCTTACCAAATTGTCCATTCTTGGCTTTGAGAAGGGAAATTTCTTTCTTGGAAACTTTCGTTCCGTCTTCTTAGGTTCTTCCTGATTGTCGGCAGCGGTGATCAACTTCTGAAGATCTTGAGTCTTTCTATCTCTCTCCTTCTTTCTTGCTTCTATTTTCCTCAGTTCTGCCTGAAGCATTTGTTCTTCTTCGACCTAAATCAGAAATACAAATAAGTATGTCTGAATATAAGTTGATTCATTTGGTAAGTTTCTGTTGACAATTTTTCAAGCAGGGAGCAATATTAAACATTACTTATTTAGAATGGTGAAAAATAAATTTTATTTCATTATATTATCAACAGATGACTTGTCTAGGTATGAAATTCCATAGAAGTTGAATCAGTTCATCTAAATTTTAAATAATTAAATTAATAATAAACTCATGAAGTTAATATTTATACTATGTTTTGAATAGTATTGTTTATTTTTTTATTTTTCATAAATAGAGAAAATTAATTTGTTTATCTAACTCTTCGATAAAGTCACAAGAGGTGAACAACCAATCATTGGCTATAAATGGATCAATGGCTATCAAAGTGCAAACCTGTTCCGGAGTTCGGCTGAAAAGTCTCTCGAGCTGCTCCTTTCTTCTCCTCTCATGGTCTGCATCAAAGAAATACTCCTTGGCCTCTGAGGGAAGGCCATAACCAGTCTTAACCTAAAAACATAAAAAAGAATAATCTATAAAAAGATAATAATAATCATAGATTGGTGGTTGACTGTATTATTGAACTATTGAAGAGAAGATTGGTTGGGGCGTTCAGTAAAAAAAAAAATATAAAAATAATAAAAAAACAAAAAATATTTTATGCAAATCTAGTGTGATTCACCTACATATTATTTTCTTTTTAATGTTAATAGTTTCTCATACCCATTGTTATCTGGTTTTTTCTTAGCCCTGAACTTTGGCTCGAAAGTTTGGCGATAAATAAAAATAAATATAATTTATTTATTCATTTTTTTTTTTTTTGTTTTTTTTCACTGAACACCACAACCAATCTTCACTTCCAAAAATAATAATATTTATAAGGTATTAATAGTAATATAATAATATCAATTAAAAACTCATTTATCAAAGAAGTATTAGGTATACTTCAAGTTGTCAAAATTTTAAATTGGTAGTCCATAAAAGGATAATCACTCATCACGCTCGGTAATGGTCCCCCACCAGCCACCACTGGTAGTTCCTTCCCAACTTCAGTATGATTCAGATTTTGTTCCAACGGAATTATTCCCGTCTGTTTTATAACTTATCCAATTAGTTGTAATTTAAAAAATTTTTTTTTTTCCTATGCCATAGTCATTGGTCATTCGACCATCCGACATCTTGCTGCCCAGTATAAGTTTGATTTTTTTATATAATCATTTACATATGTTTTATTCCTAATATCCGTCAAAGCAGGACATTTGTTTAGGTGGTCTGCATCCATTTCCGCTTGTTCACATAATTTACACCTAGGATCCTCAGCCACGCCTATCTTGTGGAGATGACTTTGTAGATAGTCGTGACCAGTGGCCAGGCGGAAGCAGGCTACTGCATCTCTTCTTGGTAGGTCAGCTGGGATCGGGTTTTCCATCAAACATCCATAACGTCTCCCTTCCACCTTGTCTTTGTGCATATTTTTTGTTTCCTCCTTCACTACCATCCTCACCATTCGCCGAATTGAATCGTAGGATTTTGGATGGACTGTTTGTGGCAATTCTGCTCCCCTCATGGCGAGACTATCCTCTTCCTCATTTCCAGGAATACCGCAATGGCTCGGCATCCACTGTAGGACCACATTGGTGCCTCGGAATGTTAGATCGTAGAGAAGGGATTTGCACTCCAAGATAGAACTCGACAGACATTTATTTACGTCAGTAATAGAGGATTGCTGCTTACAAGTCGACAAAGAGAACAGCGCTCTGAACTTGCCTTCCTGATAGTGTTCTTAGAGCTATGAGGATCGTTGCTATCTCACCATCAAAATTTGTACCATCCTCACCCACCACAGCACTGAACTGAAACTCTCTCGAGTAAACTCCTGCTCCAGCATTTTAAACGGCTGATTCAGCTGATCCAATTTAAAATTCCACCAAATGTGAAATGTCCAGTATGATTCACTTATTTAATGCATATTTAGTAATAGAGTAAGTGTATGATGAAATCATTGGACTAAAGATCAATATGAAAAACACCTGCCAGAAGTAGAACCAGTATGGTTGAGTTCTCAGACTCAGCACTGAGCTCATTGATGGGCATCAGACTGTTCCTAAACTCATCAATGGATCCATATAAGGAATTTAGTGTGTTCCTTTATTCATCCATAGAATCACTGATAGCTCAGTGGTTCCATTATGTCAGCTGGATGTAAACTAAGTGTTATTATTTCTCAATTTATATTACATGTTTATATTTAGTTTACTTTCTATTCTGTTTTGAAACCCAATAATTCATTAGGTAAATATTTCCAAATATATTTTTTGTTTTCCAACCTTCCAGGAGTATTAACATCCCGCTAAAATACAATTGATTGATGGATTCCTTCCATGGAATTAGCACTGAGGATAGTTGATGTTTATTCTTTAATTGAAGATATATTTTTCTATGGAACAAGCTAGAGGACAGGATGATCGAGCATCGTGGAGCATGATTCTCAGAGTGCAGTAACGCTGTGGGTTCGATTCCCACCAGTGTTGGTTAATTTTTATTTCTCAGTGGCCCCTGGAAATGTGGACATAATTTTCACTCTGGTAAGCATGCGGCGGCAACTGCAAGGTAGCCGTTAGGGGTTGGCAATTAGGACCATATGGCCTATTTGACAGATTAGTTCTCCCACCAATACCAATCAGAGATGGACAAATGCTACTTCGAGTACTGAGTACTAACTATTATACTAAAATATTGACTTTTTTTAAGTATCAAAGAATTTAATCACTACTTCAGTTGATGTCAAACGATTAACTGGGGTAGTGATTGAATTCCCTATAGTGATTCAATTTGAGTAAAATACTTTGTACTCGCTGCTCAGAGTACCATTTGCCCAACTCTGGTACCAGTGCCAGTATACAGCAAGCTAATAAAGTAATGTGTTAATATAACATGAGCATTATAATGTATTTAGCTTCTTCAATTGTTTGTGATGGAAATAGACTTTATTGATAATAATATTTCTGAAAATAAAAACGTTTTCTTATAACCTTTTTATATCAAAATAAATATATGATGGGGAGAGTTCTCTTACAAGTATATCAGTTACTTTATAAAACAATAAACTTACCTTCGCTAAGGCAGTTACGATACCATAGTACCTCTCCTTCAGGTCTTCTATAGACCTCTTTCGGAACCTTGTTGTATCCCAGCGATCAGCCATAACACCAAACCTTAGGTCGAACCTACCAGCCAAATCAAACAGGTGATCAGTCTCAGCTTGATTCCAATCTTCTTTCTCAAGATAAGTACTATATTCAACTTCGGTATAAGTAGGTATTTCAACTTTCTGTAAAAATATTTATAAATTTACTCATCATTAAGACAAACCTGAAACCTGTTATAAATCTTCGTTACCTTGTTGAATCTCGCAAAAGGATACTCCTTCCCTTCATCGCATACCCTCCTCCAATGATGAAATATAGCATTGTCCGTCCGCCCAGGGTTAGTGAACGGCATCCATTTCCAAGGTCGAACACTTTTCATTCCCAGTTTTGCCTTCATGTTCTTGTAACCTTGCCCTTAAAACAATGATAATTATTTATAACAACCTGAGAATTATTCATTAATTAACTTTTGAACAGAAAAATTCTCCAGGTAAAGTTAGTACAATAACTTATGATTACTTAGACTCGACAAAAAAATTTGTAAATTATACCTAGGTTGATTATGAAAATAAAGACATCATTCGCAATCTCTACAACAGGTAGCAGCACTATTGATGTCTCCTGAGGAAATTAACGACGTTCTCACTAATTTTTAAATCTGGGTCCAAGTGATTGCAAGTTACAAAATTTTCTAAAATTTGTACCTACAAAGTATTCAGGAGTCATGCAAATTCCTAAATCAGCTTTGATTTCATATAAAGGATTTATAGACCACATTTATCAGAAAAGCGCCGCAATATAGGGGATATATTTATTTTCAAACCCTTTAAAAGTACTTAATTTGTTAAGGTGAAACCACTTGATGATTTTCTGTTCATTTTTTCACCAATTTCTGTGTAATGTATTTATCTGTGAATGGTCTCATATCAAGGATGAAAATCTGGCACTTTCAGAAATTTGAAAAAAGATCATTTTTTTTTTAATGCTTCAACTTAAATCCATTCTGATAACTTTTTTTTTTCATTTTTTATAATTGAATTTTGGTTTATTATTTTCAATACTGAAACATTGTGATCAACAAAAAAATTCAAAAACATAACCCCTCTCAAATTTGAGTGTTTCACGTTTTCATGATGCCATAAATTCGAAAAACGAATAAAAATTTTTTGGTCCGTCGCCGTCCGCACAATTACTCCAAAAATACTGGACCGATTTTTTTTCCAATTTTGATATAAAATCAAGGTCACCCGAGGATGATCCTCCTTCATCGACCATAATCTTCGCCTTTAAACTTTCAAACGGCGGCCGAAAAACCAGCGTTGCTATAGACTGTAGCTCCTAAACGAATGTACATATTTCAACGAAACTTCGCTAAAGTCCATTTCTCGACGCCCTTTAAATTTATCTATAGAACCAAACTTCAACAAAAAGAAGCTGGAAAAAAAAGGGATACAGGGATGTTTAAAATTAAATTCCGAATAACTCCGAAAAGTTTTTACTTTTTGTTTTTTATTTAAAAGTTTATGAATTTCCTTAAAAAAAAAAAAAAAAATAGTTTAAATCGTACAATAAGGAGCAAAGATATGGTCTCTGGTTTGTTTTTATGTGGTATCTACTCCCAATGTATATCCTTGGTTGGTTTTTAAATTTTAAATGTATACGGAAATAAAGTCTATTTTTTTAGCATAGTACTAATGATTTAAGAAAAACAGTTTAGACCAATAATTGGAATCACCTTTTGTTTTGGTTTCCTTTGTACTCGGAAGGTTAATGTATACATTAGATGTATAATTGTTTGGAGATAATAAACCATTGTGAAATCATTTGCAGCTTTTTTTTATTAATTTTCAAAAGGATGCAATATCATCATCAATTTAAAAGTAAGTCAAATAGTCTTTGAAATTATAGAAGACTGGAAATGAAAAATAATAATGGTCCATTTTTTTTAATGCACAAGAGTCCTAATTACTCAATTCGTAAAATAAGTAAATCACTAATGAAATCTAAAATTAGCCATATCTAATATAATATGCTCATATGTGTAGTTAAAACTGGCAACTTAAAATCAAAATTAAGATGTTGATTTTTTTAAATCAAATTTTTCCTACAAAAATTTATTACTTAGCAATCAAACCAAGTGAAAGGTAAGTTTTTGACATCTTGAAAATATCACAATTCTTGGCTAAGATACAAGGGATACATGATCACTTCTATGCCCAGCAGATATAAGTTACCTCTAATAGGCTGACAGGCCACATCTGCTGAGGAGGGGATAGTCGTTAAAAGAATTTCAAGCTGTGTTCAGCCCTTCTGAAGTAGTTAACATGTTCAATGTTCCTCGACTTTGATAATCTTTTGAAAAAGCCTTATCAGAGCTTATGTGGTCTAGTTTATAAAACAATCTAAATTTATAAAAAGTTATTTTTTCATAAACCACTGCGATTTACAACTTAATCCTAATGGTTGTCAAAATACAAACCTGTATCAGACGGAAAAAGAGGAGGTGGATCATTTTTGTCATGATACAATAAAGCAAATAGCTCTCGTGCCATTCCTTCTGGTTTCTTAGAATGTTTTGTTGCTCCAAATTTCTTGTTCTTTTTCTCCGGACCGACAATAGATTCTTTTGTGACCTCTCCACCATTAGAGCGGTCAATATCCAAAATATCACACACATCTGCCATTGTTTTCTGCAGCAATAATATAATTATTAAAAATTCAATATCTTTTCTAATAGGAAATTTTAAAAAAAGAGAGAATTTTTTTGTAGGTTAAAACTAAATTTTTAGAAACAATAGTAATAATTTAGATGCATAAATAAGAACTAAATATTTCCGTAGAAAATAAATAGAAAAGTTTACAATTTAAGCTTGACAAGTCTATATTTTTTGGTAAAGATACACATAATGCACAGAATGGTCATACTTTATATTAGCTACAATAAGATTTTAATTATAGTTAAAATAGTATTCTTGAGCTAGGTGCCCCTTGGACCATTCCGCCTGCTTTTAAAATGTACATATACATAAATAAGTAGAGTCTTTCTAGAATTTGGAAATACTAGAAATTGGGTATTCAGCAAGATAAATTTAATTTGGTGAATTCTTTTCACAATTAGAAAACAATTGTAACAACCATGGATATAGAGGAAAGGACATTTAAACGAGAAAATATGTACTAGGAACATCCAAAATGCAATTATAAACAACCATCAGGTGTTAATTCGTTGTTATACTGCATCCATATTTCATATTGGTTCTTAAATTTACAATAATGTAAAATTAATCATTAAAATAAAATATCAGATAGCAAAATGTTTTAAAACATATAACAATGCTATAAATTTGATTAAACACTCAAGAAAGTTACTTTAACCCTAGAGTGGACCCCAGAAGATATGTTTTGCTCTGCCAAATAATCCTGACTGAACATGTACTTCCCCCACTCCTGGTACCTTCCTATCTTCGGCAAACCTTTACATATCTGTATTCCGTCTTTACATTGATTCGTGCAGGTTTTGAAATATTGAGTTCTTGGGACCCATTGGACCCCACGCGTTTGACTATAAATTTCTCAGTAATTTTTTTTTTGTTTACCTAAAATTGTATTTTTCCTTCAAAAACAAATTTAAGCTTTTGTTTCTCATTTAGAGCATGGCTCAAAATATTATTATTAATAATTTGTAGCTTCCAAGTAACTTGGAAAGTCAACAAATTGCAAACATGTTCCTTCTTCCCAGAGAACTTCCTTCTAGAATTACGATATACCTTGGATTATATAAGGAACAACCAGAAAATCCTTCAGAAACTGTAGAAGAAAAAAAAAAGCAAAGATGCGAAATTTGTCCTAGAAAATCATACAAGATGAGAACTCTCTGCTCGAAGTGCAAAAAGTTTACCTGTGGAAATCATGGAATTTTTTCTGCAATGTCTGTGAAAATATATGATTTTTATATTTTAAATATAACCTGCTTTCACAATATAGCCAATTTTTTTGTTAGAAATATCTTTATTTACAGTAAATATTTAATGGAAATACATTGGAATATTCTTTTTTCAGCTTTAGGTATTTCTTCTTCAATATAATTTTTCTATCCTAAAATATATGTTAAGAATCCACAATTTTTTTTTTTTTTTTTTAAACTCATTAACAGCTCAAATAAGTATTAACTATGATACAAATAAAATAAATATTTTCAGACAGTGAAAAAAAAAGAAGAAAATTGGAGTACATCAGACCCCTGCGACCTGTTAGGTTTGTCAAAAGTGCGCGACCACTCTAGGGTTAAGTAGATACATTAATTTTTATATCAGAGGATATACCGGAAATAGTTTTTCCTAAATTATATAAAAGTCTGAAGTGAAGAAAATACCAAAATAAATTCGTGATTGTCATTAATGATGTCTTGACACCACATAATAATAAATAAACCCAACTCATAAAAAATACTACTTCCAAAAGAAGTAGTTATACAATTGAATAGGCAAACAATTGAATAATATAATATAATTTAATATAATATGTAAATATAATAGAAAAAATAAGTTAATTGTGTAATTTCAGTTTTGGACCATGTGAAAAAAAAATTAAATGAAATTTATATTCAATTGATTCTTCATCTAACATGTATATTGCTGTAGCTTCAGAAAACTTACTTAACCGGTCAAAAACTTGATAAACTTTCTAGTTAAATATCAACCAAAACACATAATCAGATAACAGTTGAAATTCAAAATCCGCTGAATAAAAGACCTAGTTGAAATTCGTGAACGAGCGTTAAACCTGAACATTCCTACCTCTTTGGGAAACAAAAGCGGCTGCTCGAACTAAAGGTAAGTTTACAGTGGATGATTATCGGTTAATCGTAAGCGTATAGGAAAACTGTAAATGAAATGAATGGAAATATAAACAAATTCAGTTTCCTCCTTTTTAAAGGACTAGGACCAAGCAAATCCGTCAATCCACCTCCTTCATGCATCAATTAATACTACATTTTATATTATAATATTATATTATATTAGGTCTTCTTGGCTAGGTTTTACTTTGGGATGTTCAAAAAATAAATATTTGCATTCTATTCAGTAATTTCAGGATGATAAATATGTCACTAAAAATTTGGATTTTGTATCTCAGTCACATGCTATACAATAAAAAAACTTTCTTGATGTAACTTAGATCCCTCTTGTCAGAGGTTGTGATGGACGAGAGTGCTGGAGTGTCCGGTCTAGCATTCTCGTGCCTAGCGACTTCGGTTCGAATCCGGCCTGGGAGGGGTTGACTTTTATTCCGTGGCGGACCCACGGAATGAAACTCGACCCTCCCATTCTTGTGAGAATAGGTTTGGTTGTACCACTAGAACAGCCCTCCCGTATGCCAAAAATGGTAGGTAGGGGGTTATCCAATAAAAAAAAAATCCTCTTCTCATGACAAGATTACTGGACCATATTGCCTTACTATTTAACTGAAACGATATTTTCCAGTGGGACAAGCTAATCACTCATTAAGTCAATTGCTTCTTCAGTAATTGTGATAGACTATCTTGATAATGTTGTATTGTATCTTCCGTGAATAATTACATGTTTTGCTTGTCACTTATAATTTGATTGCATTAGGGAAAAAGAAAGCTATCCAATGTGTCAGTTTTCGCTTGGGTAAACTAATAAAATTTAACTCCTACATTATAATAATTGGCGAAAATCACCAGTACAGAGCAAGATCGGAGACGGCTAAAATCACTACCTTTTGTCCTATCCAGGGGTGAACAGAAGGGGTTTCATGGCGCAAGTTGCGCCCTCAAAATGTTTGAGGAGGGCATATTTTGAAGGGATTTTGAATTTTTTTTGGGAAATGAAAAATTTAAATCAAAAAACAAGTGGAAGCATAGAATAGACTGTAGGATGTGTAATTGTATATAATCTACGAATTTTTAAGTTCTAACTATGTTTGCACTGTTTTTAAGAAGAGGAGAGCAATCAAATGGAGGGAGAAGGTTCATGCACCATCCACCTTGGGGGATGCGCATCCCTGGTCCTACCTGACCATATTTTAAAAAAAAAATTATATTCCAACACCAATTTAATTCTAATTTTTTAATAGAGGGATGAATAAACTTAACAATACAGAAGTTGTTTTTATTATTTTAAAAAATAAGACGGAAAAATAAGAGATTTTTTATTATTAAAAATTGTTTAATAATAAAAAATTATTTTTTTATTATTAAAAAAGAAGACGGCCATGGTACAGGAAGGAAATGATTAAATAACTTGAATAAACATTTGACAAATTTTTCACAGAGCTTTGATTCCTTTAGATTACCAAAATTTTACTTATATAGACCATAGTTTCTTATTCTCTCTGCTATTTTCAAAGAGCTCCTAAACTTAATTAAAAATTAATTAATCTGTATGATAAATTTATAAAATAGTTGTATGTGAAAAAACCAACCGTATAACAGTTAAACACTATCACTAATTATTTGTAATTAAATATATAATTATGTCATTATATATTTAATTAAATGTACCTGCGCAGTTGCTTGCGAATAATAAGATTGGTCTATAAATCGTCAGAATGTTTCTAATCTGGAACCAAAGATCTATCGAAAGCACTCCTCTGCCAATTTAAGTTACATTCATTTAATTGAAATCACTGGGAAATGTGAGGCTGATATTTTTTCGGTATGTACTTACCATAACGACGGATATCTTGTCAAATACCCATTACGGTTCCTTAGCACCAAAGAGGTCACCCCATCAATTCACTTTTAATCCTACTAGCTGACACTAAAATCATTAAGTACTTTTAGGGAACATGAAATGAAAAAATTGTTCCATGCTCTAAATTCTATGAAATTATTAAGTATTATTTGAAAATTATAAATTAAAATTTATCTTTTTTAAGAGACTTACTATTGTATTGCTTGTCAACCTTACAGGAATAGTTAATAAATGTAATACATATATATATATATTCCAGCATTTAATTATTGAGTGTCAATAAAAAAATAAAAGAGTTATCAATCAAACACTTTACAATTTTTTTCAACTTTATAAATATCAAAAAACAATTTTATGTTTACTTGACGTTTAAAATCCCATGTACTCCAGTTAGAAAGAGTTATTAATCTATTCTAGCCAATGCTTAAAGGTAGAAATTCATTCTGTGAGTCCGCGACGAAATAAATTCGACCTTACCAGGATGGATTTGAATTAATGCAGTTTCTGACTTGAGGTAGGTAAGATAATAATAATGCCCTGATACTGTTGGCCATCAAGGCCTCACATCAAAATAAGGATGTGAAATTATTGATTCAGAACATACAATAATTTTAATTTTTTTTTTTTCTGGTATCTTTCAGCTATATGGTTTTTTTTTTTTTACGGGCTAGGGAGAAGGTGAGGGATTAATGCTGGAGTTAAAAGCCCCTGGCACTGAGATTTTCCGTTTCTCAGGCTGCTGGACAACACTTGTTTTACAAGCGCATTAGCCCCACCGCCACCTCGCCTCCAATAGTTTAAATTATTGGAGAAGTTCTAAACAGAAAATAATATACTTACTCACCTTTTTTAGAATTCCTGAAGTTCCATAGAGAGATCCATCCTATACTGCCATCACACCTCAACTTGACGGTTAGGTATGTATCCTACATTGTGTCGCCTTCTTGTCCCCCTTGTTCAATAGACCCAAAAATCCTTTGTATTATTAATTTTCCTTTTGAAAATAAGGATTGATTTTTCATCCTCGACTGTTAAAATTTGTTTCGGATCATCAAGTAAGAACTGGCTTGATGAGGATTTTGTAAATTATACAGTAGTGAATTCAATGAATAGATCTGAATATTTGCTCTTCATTTCACTCTTTTTAAATACTGCATTGATTCGGAATAGCAATATTTACTATTAGTCCCAGGTACAAGAAAAAGTAAGTATAAGAAAATTAAAATCTTAATATATAAGGAGAAACATTTAGGAAGATGAAAATCTATGAAGAACAGAATAACAGAATTTTTATTCATAATTAGATGTATAACTGTAATTAAATTAATATAATTTTTAAGAATTTTACTTCCATAACAAAATATTTCTTTAATTAGTCTTACATTATCACAGAAGTTAGTTTCATGGCAAAAATAGCTTAACTAGAACAAATGTGTATGTCAATGAATCTCAAGATCAGAGTAATTTGAAAACTATATTAAAAATATAATTCCCAAATTAATCTATTAAAATTGTTATTTTAAAATAAAACCATTAAAATCCTAGTATACATTAAAAATATGTTGATATTTATACCATTATTGACATTAATATTGTCTTACTTTTCTTATGGCAAGATGATTTAAGAATTATAAAAATGCAATCAGCTGTGCAGAAGAATTCTACGTGTGTACGCTTTGTACACATATAAATATATAAATTAATTGAAAAAATAAATCAATAGATATTTAAAATAAAATATCAGAATACAATAATTAAACTATAGCTAGACAACAATTAGTGGGTAGTTGAGGGCGAGCTAGTGCAACATTAAGTTGATATTAAAATTTTGTTTTTTTCTCTGTAACCCCCCAATATTATTTACAATATATTTATAAATAATTATGTATAATAAAATATGATATAAGTAGCATTCTAAAGTATGTATATATTTGTAAATATTTTGTAAGTAATATTGAAGGATTAAGAAAAATAAAATGTTAGTTTCAATTTAGTGCTGCCTAAGTGCTCTGAGCTCTAATCAATATATTATCATTGTAAAATCAGCTGATTTTAAATATGATTTTTCTATTATAACTTTTTAAAACTGAAACAAAAGAGAGTTTATAAAGATATGATAATACTGACTAGTTGATTTAATTTTAGATTGTCATAAAGAAAATTATAAATTACAATTATAAATGATAGTTATTGAAAATTATCATAATTATTATTATAAATAATTACAGTTTACTCTTAAAGCAACATATTATAGTTTATATTAACATTAATTCCTACAATAATAAGAATTATTGTTACAATAACAAAGTATGAAATAACCTTAATGCTACATGTGCCTAATATTTCTGAATACTAAATGTCGATTTTTGGTAAAATCAATATTCTTTCCTCAATAATGCACACAATAAATTAACATAAAAATAGTTTCCTATTAACTTCTACAAAGAAATGTTATTATTCGGTAACTATTATGGACTATACATGATGTATAAATTGAAACATTCTGAAATACAGACCAGTACATTATAATTTTGCAAGCATGTGGTTCAAAACAATAAATTTTATAATCACAACCTTTTAAAAAGCCTTATTGCACATATCAGTCTATTGGGAGCATCATAAACAAACGTATATTTCAAAATTAATAAAAAATATTCTACAAAACAATTTTTAAAAATATCGTAGCTAATCATTTACTTTCTAAATATTTATTGTAAGCTTCATCTATATTGTATCAAAAACAAATTTTAATTTACTATTACACTCCAAATCAATTTTTTTTATTTTTAACATACCAAAAGAGAATGGAATTTGGTTTTAATAAGACAATTATTAATTATATACTATAATCATGAAAAAAATAAATAATTAAAATTGAAAGCACAAAAACATCCATCTTAACAATTAGGAGGGGGAAAATATGATGCTATACAATTAATAACTTTCAGAGTAATGCATACAAGGAAATTTTCAAAGAATTACAACTCCCAAAAATGTTTTTTAGCTGTACCTGTAACATATGTTAATCAACAAAATAATAGCTTTTGAATGTCATTGATCTGCATGAGTGAGATTCTTCAATTAACGGATTTCCTTTGATATTTTCTTGAGAGTGTTGGGTGCTTATATTGTATCATAAACTTCTCGGTTTCGACAGCCACTCATGAAATATGTACATGTCTGGAAAACCAATAATATATTATAAAAATAATGAAACTGATGGCTCACTATAGAAGTATAGGCATACAATTTTTTATTTTTGTTTTCATTTCATAAATTGATTATTTTAAGATATTTATCGGGATTGATAAACAATTTTAATAAATAAATGACCTAAGTTATACAAAACATAGTCCACAGTACAGACCCCTTTTTATCAAATTATTGATATTTATCCAAAACATCGTGAATGGCTTCATCTTCATTTTTTATTAACTAAAATTCTCTGAAATGGAGCATTTTTAATCAGTAAATAGGTAAACTTTGTATATTTAATACGGTACAAAAAAACAAAACATGAACATTCATTTCCTTTCCGCTTGAATAGTAAGATAATTTGATCACAAAATCATGAAAAAAGGTGGCCTACAAAAATAGCCAATACAAAATAGCAACAAAGATGAAGCCATTCATGAAGTTTTAGACAGATGTTAATAATTTGAGAAACAGGGGTCTGTACCACGGACTAAAATAATTCCACACATTTTCAATTCAGGTACAAATGTTTTGTTAATATAAAAGGGAGCATTGCAAACAGGGAAAGAGTAGATTTAAATTTTGTCTTAAGATCAAGCTTTTTGTTTGTAAGAAAATTATAACAAAAACCTATTCTATTCAAGTAACACCCAATTGCAGAATTTTGAATTAGACACAATTTTCTTTGAAAACAAGTAGAATCAGTTCTCATTAAATGCACATAAAGAGGGCTTTCAAGCATTAGTTCTATTTTTTGTCAATTCATGGTCCTTGCAGCAGCCGATGCAGACTTGAGGAAAGGACACTGAGTTCCGTGCCCAGACTTAAAGGCACATTAAAATTTTTATGCATTATTATAAAACCTAGAAGAAAATTAAATAATGATGATCAATAATATTGTTAATCTAAGACAATTAGTAAATTTAATTATTTGTTAGAAAATAATTTCATGTTATCCACATATAATATTTTTTTTATAAGTAAAAATTATATTTTAGTAATTACTACAGATTTACCCTTGTATAATTTTTAAAAATATATGTAAACTAAATTTTCTAGATATTTATTTTGATTAGAGAATTTTAAAGTAATCAAAATCAATCAATCATACCTTCTTGAGGCTGTTCCATGATGATTTCCAGAATTCACCATTCGGTATGGCTTCCCAGCCACGAGCTCCTCTAATGAACCTCAACACCAAAAATCCACAAATAAAATAAAAGAGGAACAGTACAAGAACGATTATAAAGAATGTCGAAAATACTGAGTGCCCTTCATTGGTTACGGTTCCGACGCATGCTTTTTCGGAAGTTAGTTTTAACTCCTAAAACAGAAACATAGCAATGTGAGTAAACATATCAGAGAATGGCAACAAATAGAAAATTATAAAGGCCAGGCACACACGTTCCAGTATACCTGTCAGGTAAACCAGCACAGGTAAATCGGAAAGATATATTTGTTCAGGCTAGAGCTCACATACACTATAGTAAACCAGAAGATTTTAGCTAAGCCGAGAGATAGCGAGCAAACACGTAGACAACGTGATTGGTTTACTTGATTAAAAACTGTATAGGTATACCCGAGTGACTCACACACATGTTCAGGTCTACACTCCTGTGTAGATAGAAAATACTAAATTTCAATTCATCTCCGGTCACCTGCAGCGGTTGGCACAGACGCTCCGGTTTACCTGTAGAGGTAAACCTCACAGGTATACCGGATCGTGTATGCCTGGCAAAAGAAATAAACTTAAAAATAAAAATAATTATAAAACAACTGTCCTAGAGATAGAAAATTATTAAAATAAATTTCTAAATTATATACTTCATGTTTTATTAAATGGAAATAGAATTAGAATGGTGTTTTTTTTTCTTTCTCATCTCGTTAGTGATGTTAGGCGTGGAGTAGCCTCAATCCATCTCTCATATCTCTATCCAGAGCAATTTTATAGAGCGTTCTTTTCCAAGAGCTCATCTATGTAGGCACAGTTCTAGGTCTACCAACATGGCGCTTTTCTATCGGCCTTGAATCCATCAGCCAGCCGGCATTTCAGTCATCTTATCATCAACCTTATGTTTTATGTTATCAAGTATACATAATTTATATTTCCTTTTTTTTTTTTCATTAAATTAAAGTTTATAAAATATTTTTATATTTCTTTTATTTAATATGTCCTGTCTTACATTGAATATACAAAAAATAAAAAAGTAAACATGTTTGTTTCCCTATCACAAAATTAAGTTAAAAACAACAGAAAAATTAATTTACAACAATTTTATATAAATAAATATTATTAGAAATTCTATAAATACATATTAATGTACAAAATATTAAAATTAGAATTTAAACAATCACTACCATGGTGAACTTTCATGCATCCTGCGCATACTGGTGTTCAGATAAAGGTGTGCCCACTGGAGGGTTACAAGCTGCAAAATTAACCTACATCTCAAAAAATAAATTTAAAAAAGAAAATAAATAATATAATAGAACTCACAAATTTTTGGTCATTTAAAACAGACTCTACTTCCAACACAGGTGTTTCTGAAGAACCACACACCAGAGTGATCCTCGTTGACCTAAAAGAAAGTCAAGATATCATTTCAAGAGTTTAGTTAAAGCAGCATATAAAATTCTTTATATACGTAATTGACTTACCAACTGATATGGTTAAAATTAATTTCTGGGTTAAGATTTATGTTCTCCCATTTGAAAGCACTCTCAGTTATCGAGCCCAAGTTAAAAAATTTAGTTTCATTTCCAATATGCTTCTCCAAGCAGAGCTAAATATAAATATATATTTATAATTATTACTAGTCCTATTTTGATATTAATAATTTTAAAAATAGATGACAAGTATTACTTACAGAAGCACCAGCCGCACATTCGTTTGTGGTCACATTGTTCGGAATAATAGTATTGTTACAAGGGTAATAATGTATGAATTCATCTTTGGTGGCTGAAATACTAATAAAAAACAAAAATATTATTTTATTTCACAAAATATTAATCATAGGGATGAAATTGGAGCTAATCAGTATAATTACTTAAAATTTCTAAATAAAAATCATCAGCTTTAATAACTTTTGTTATTTGTATGAATACGGTTTACATCACCGTATTAAGAAGTTTGTGAAAAAATCTAAAACTAACCGCTACTTATAAATTGATTTTTACTGAGTATTATTTAAATACACACCACTTCAAGAAGAAGTAGGGTAGCTCAGTGAATAAAGTACTGCGATTTTAAATCTAGATCTTGGGTTTGAATCTGGCTGTGGAAAAAAATTATTTATTTTATCAGCTGGCGAGAGACACTTCTGGGGCACACCCAACCCACCAGGGAAAAACTTTAAGTCAGAGAATAATGTATGCCAAATCACCTCCTTCCAAAACTGTTAATAGACTAAATAGAATTTAATACCAAACACACAAATTTAAAAAAAAGAAAGAAACTACTCAAGCCTGATCCACATCAGTTAAGATTTGAACGCCGCTGGATGATGTCTTAACAAACTTGCCAGTCAACTAGGCAAGATACTTATGAAAGGAAGAAAATACACTACTTTATAAGCCTTGCTCCATTAAAGGCCGTGGTTGCTGAGCTTATTAAAATGTTACCCACTTAATCATTCTCAAGAATAGCATTTACGGTTCGAATACTGCCTGGGCAATAATAGGCTTGAATAGGTTTGATTAAACCTCGTGAATAAAAAATATGATTAGAAAAAAAGTGTTACTCCACTCGAGTAGGCACAAGATCTCACGTTCACACTATAAATGGAATTACAAGAATGGCTGAATATTGACATTTTTATGGGTATACTCTTCCTTTACATAGAATTTGATTCATGACTTATGACAAATTCCCAACTTGTCCTTTTCAGTTAAAATTAGGGATTTTATCAGCTTTAATTAAATGATGGTCTCGATAATCTGAACAAATAATAAAAGTTAAAGTTGGTTGATAAGAGGCGGAATGGAAATGGCTCGTTATCACAGTATACATAACTGAAATCACTTCTTGTGGTCAAAATCCTATTGTGGTGTCATCCATCACAATTAACACTAGTAAATTCAGTGACACTTCACTGTCAACCACCAAGAGTGAAATAAACAGTAAAGTTAAATCAAGAGAAAAATAACAATGTTGATGATGGATCAGCACTCATCTTTTATAAATTTATTAAAAACTGAATCAGAATAAAAAATAACACTAATCAGTATTAATATTACTAGAATGAATTTGCTAATGCTTTGATAAATCTAAGATTTATAAGAAATGGCATGTAGAAAATATATTTTATAGACTTACTTAAAATGTGTTCCTTTAAGAGATATCAAATCTATTCCCATACCATTAGGAAATTCACATTTACAAAATCCAGTTGGAGTACAAGGTACATTTTTACTTCCTAAAGAAAGATTAATGAATATCACCACTAATGTGTGAATTAGCAATATTCCCTTTAAATTTCGAAAATACATAACTAAGAGTAACAATCTAACATAAAACTATAAAATATAAAGTGACAATTCTCATTTTACATCAACCGACGATCCTAAACCGAGAGTAGGTTATGTAACAGTTCAGTCTTAGTCTAATTCATGTAAAGGTTGTTGTTCGCATGTTGTTTGTTATTAACAGCAGATTGGGAACTATTCTGTGACATTTCTCCTGATTTTATATTAAAGATTTTTTTTCTTTTAATTTGAAAACATAATGGCATGGACTTACGGTTTATTGGACGCAATGAAAGATCCTCGTTTGCAGATTCATAATGATTACGATATTGTCATTATTAAAGATTGTTATCCTAAAGCCGAGGTCCATTTTTTAGTCCTGCCATGGAAAAATATTCCCTCTATAAAAGATTTAACCGGTTCTCATTTACCATTATTGAAGAAAATGGACTTGAAAGGTCGTGAAATTGCTAGAGAAAAAGGTGGTGGAAGGAAATTCAAGTAATTTTGCTATCATACTTAATCTTATATTATATTTTGATATTTGTGTTTATAGCAATGATTTTGAAGGATATTAATTTAGATACCAATAGTTTATTTATTAATTCTTGTGATGAAAATAAATGTTGGTAATTTAAATCAACCCATAGGAACACTTCAGATTTTAGTTGAATGTTACCAATTTCATGTTTAATATCTAAAATACCGCTATAACCTATGCAGGGTCTTCGATTCAGTATTCTGTGAGGTAGTACTGTTTCGAGATCAATGGTTGAGCAAAGAGACTTGCTAGACTGTCTAGTTTCTACTCTTTGTACTACTGTACAAATGTCACTCCACTTTCATCAATTGCACAAGATCTCATGATCATACCATTAACAAATTCCTGAGAATAGTCGAGTATGTTTAAAAGTAGAGAGAAGTGACAACCATCTGGTAAGATCCCGACCTTCACTGTAAAGGATCTGTTGAGAGTTTAACGCCCTGATTTTAACTGAAAACAACCAGTAGGGAGTTTGCTGAAGTTGTAAATCATGATCTAATTAAAGGGAGGTTATACTGTGAAAACAATCCTTGGCTATTCTCGGAGTCCCATTTGTACCCCCAAACAAGGGATCTTGACCCTTTTAAAAGATATTTGTATAGTGGCAATCTCCCAATTAGGCCAGGTCTCCTGACCTTAGAATCAATCAATAGTTGGTGTTACTAAATTAATAATTACCTACTACATCTGTACTCCATTAGGAGCACGGTTTCTTAATCATTGAGATAGACCCCTGTTTTTTTTTTTATTTATTGTAATATTAAATCGCTTGATGTTTTTGAATGGCTTAGTTTCGTTCATAAGCATATTAATAACTTCTTGCTGGTACAAGTCTAGGTTACTTATTTATCAGATCAAAATATAGATAAAATCTATTTCTTTTACAGGTTTGGTTACCATGCTGAACCTTCGATGAAAAGACTGCACATGCATGTTATCAGTGATGATTTCAATTCAGTCTCCCTGAAGACTAAGAAGCATTGGAATTCATACACAACGGGGTTTTTCATTCCTTCTGAAAGTAATTTTTATCATCAAATGTTTTGATATCTCTAGTTATGACAGTCCGCTTGATAGAAGGACAAGTTAATATTTTTTTAAACCTTTACAATATAGAATGATTTTACACATGATTAAGGATTAGTGGTGGGTTGTCGAGTAGTAATCTATTTAATTTAAACAGTTACTTTCTTTAAACAGATACAAGGATTACCTTCCATTTGGAAGGAGCAAGTTGTTCTTAAAATCAGCTCTGAGCTCATCGATGCTATGGAATAGATCTCTAAGCAGAGCAATCCGAAGCCATCGATGAACTCAGTGCTGATTTTAGGAAGATAACTCACTTTAAAGGTTAATAGGTGGAGACAGCGATCCCGACTGAAAAAGAAGGAAACACTGAATCTGTTTAATTTAAACAGCCACAGAAGCTGTTAAATTATAAAACTGCTAACGAAGCTGTACTATTCCGAAACAGTTCGAGAAGCTGTTTAATTTAAACAGATAAAGCTCTCCAAAGCAGGTAGATTCCTCTGAAATAGACACAGTCCTCTGCAACTTATTCCGAAACTGCTCCTTGCAGAAGCACTGCTACCCTTTTTGTTTTTAATAGTTATTTCTATGAAACACGGCCATCGCATTGTTGCAACCTATAAACAGCTATATTGTTTCGTAAACAGTTTTAGCAACTCCTTTTCCTATTTAATTGCTATTTGTTCATTATTTTCACTAACATTTAAATTGATAATTACTTCGAAGACCACTTCTCTTCTTTTTTTTTTTAAACTGTTTTTTGAAAGTAACAGAAACTGTTGCAACTGCTATTAATGTTAAACAGCTTTGCCCATCACTATTAAGGATGCCTCATCCTTGTAATCAATCGAGTTTCATTTGATTAATAAATTTTAAACATAGAAATACATTTTATAAAGTAAATACGACTAACATAATTTAAATTTGAGACATTAGGAAAAATATATAAGAATTAACAAGTCCACTTGAATAAAGATTCTTTATAGACTGTTTTAGGAAAACATGTTTGAAGTATTCTATTTCGCAATTGTCACTACATGACAGCTAGGCATAAAATCCCTCTGCAGATGAAATTGTGGAAATGGGCAAGTATTTCTGAAAGTAGGCAGAGGCAAGTGATCTTAGAAAAGTTGAGACAACCTTTAGTAATTAAGGCCCTAACCTAACGTCAACTGAAGACGAACAGTCGGGGGTTTGTCTGTTTCTTTTTAGCAGTCGTACTGTTTAAAAATTTGAAATTTGTGGTCTAATTAAGACCTTGATCTCAACTGAAAATAATCTAGGGACAGGGGATTGTTAATTACTTTCAAGCAAGCATGAAGAACAAAAGTACACAAAGCTGAGATGAATTTAAGTAAGGTACACCCTCGGCCATTTTTTAATTCAATCTGCAATAAGATCTGTGATACTGGCTCAGTCGATATGTAGGGCACTTGTTAAATTTTACCATGTCAAGTATTTTACTTTCAGAGGATTATTATCTATATTTTAGTATAAATAATTTTATAGATAATGATGTAGAGATGGTTGACCGTTGATATAATATGAGAAGGAGTTAGTCGAAAATTGAAATAATTATTATATTTTAATTTAGTATTTATTTGACCGCACCCCCGACTAACTCCTTCTCAAATTTTATAGATAATATCTATCTAGAATCTAGTGAAATACTGTATTATTTCATCACATGCTTTATTGCAATTTCAATAAATAACTAAAAATAAGTTTTTATTTCAACTAGCCATAACAGAGATGATCCAGTGTTTTATAAGTTTTACGGTCCTGTTAATCTAAAAAATGATTCAGACTTATTTTGAATTAAATATAAAAATTTGTTGAGAGCTAATACAAAGATGAGTCGAAATATATGTTTTTTATGTATATATGCAGCGTATAACTTACAAACTAATTAATGTACTTATATAATATTTTAAATAAAGTAAATGATTTTAGCATGGTTTGAGGTATTAATTACACTTATTTAAATATTTTGACTCTTTTATACTTTAGTTTGCACATTTTGAGTTTTTACTGTACGTTCTCAGATTTTTACTGCACGAAAATCTGCTCTCTAGTAATGAGCTATTATTTAAAATTTTATCTTAACACGACACTGTGTTAGAGAGGGGAAAAGGCAAGAAATATTGTCGAAAATCAAGTGATAATGAGTTTTATTTAAGATATGAATTGAAATATCTCAGAAACTAACTAACAATCAGACTTGCATACTGTAAGCGAGGGAAATGTTCATTATTTCATCTTCTTTATAATGAGCTATTATCCATAAATTATATTTCATAGTATTAAACTCGTCTTGTTGATGTTTTCACTTATATTGTGTGGTATAAACCACATACCTTAAATAGTTTTTTTTTTCATAAGATCTGTTTGGTATTTCTCAGCTTATAGACATCATACACAATCACACAGAATACATTTATTTTCTTACACAGAATAAAAGTATTTCCTGGTTGTAATCCCCTTTCCAATTTTATAAGTTTACGTAATTGTTATATAAATCATATTTGAATTTAGAAATTATTGACTAGAATAAAATATATTTTATATTATAGCTTATCTCTTGAGTTGTATTTGACTTCAATATCTTTTTAAGTTATGTTTTAGTATTTTTCCTAAGTAAGTAATATGTTTTCTAATTATTGATAATTTTATGTTTCAGAAGTGATTAAAGATCTCGAATCGATAGGAAGGGTAAATCTTCCATCAACATCACAATGTAGCTTAAATTTGAAGACACCTTTGAAATGTCATAAATGCTCTTATCTTCCTGGAAATATGCCAGCTCTCAAACTACACTTAGCTAAACATGTAGAATAAAAAATATTTATGAAATTAAATGAGATAAAAGTTAAATGCTTGTTTAATTATGTATATACAAAAATTATCAAAGTGTTTGTTAATTTAAACCAGATGATAACAAGGTTGAGATGCACAAAAATAAAATCAAGCAATCAGTTTTTAAATACTTTTAGGTGTATGATGTAAAGATTTATTTATTTTCAACTCAGGGTTGAATTATTTTAGTTTTTATATGTGGGACATTCATACCACTAATTCTTAGAGTTTTTAATTTTTATCATCTATGATTTGGCATAACCATTAATTTTGTGACCCTTGTTTGTTTGAAAAATTATATGTGAAAACATTTTTCCTTTAAACTTTAATAAGTTTAGTACTTAATAAATGGAGAATTCTGAGGAGAAAGAAACAATTGAATTAAAATCGAGGTAAGAATGTGTTATTTTATATATTTTTAAAACAATTGTAGTGTTGATTTTTGTATTTTAAAACTCAGTAAAATAAATCAAATAAAAATTAGAAAGACTCAATTGAAATTATTAGTTTTGCCATTAATTATGATTAATAACCATTATAATGTTTTCAATTTTATAAAAATTTCTAATTATATGACGTTATAGTAAGTTTCTCTTGAATATTTTCATTTGTAAATAACTAACTTAAAAATCAGTCAATATTGATTGAAATATTAAAAAAAATATTTATTTGTCATCTATGATTAGAATATATTTATTTATTATTACATATTTATTTGTCCTATAAGATTAGAATATATTTATTTATTATATTATTATATATACTACTATTTATTATATAGTTAGTAAGCTGTGAGAAGTTAATTGTATTTTACCTATTTATTTGTAAGGAATGTAAATTATACATTTTATCAGGTTTGAGGTTAAATATGTTAGCTCTCTACTTCTTTTTACAGTCTCATATATTTATGTTTTGAAGCTCTCGGTGCTCTTCACCATATTCATCTAGAAAATATTTTTAAAATACACATTAAATTATTATATATATATATATATATATATATATATATATGTATATATATATATATATGTATATATATATATATATGTGTATATATATATATATATATATATATATATATATATATATATATATATATATATATATATATATATATATATATACAATATGCATATATAAACATACAATAAATTAGAAAAGTAGATTTATGCATTAAATTTGTTAATTGTCACTCAGGACTCCGCCTATATTTCCACATACCTTAACAATGCTCATTCAATCCATTTTTGGATTTTGTATGTTGTATAAATTTTATCAATCATTATAGATTGGTGTCTAAATTTACAAAAAAAAAAGTTTAGGCTTTTCCATATAATTATTGTATATTTATATATGTATATTGTTTATATATACCATAATTGAATGTGTATTTAAAATTTTTTTAGATGAATATGGTGCCGAGCATTGAAATTAAAGGCTTCAAAACATAAATACATGAGACTGTAAAAAGAAATGTGTTTTTTCTTACTTTTAATATTATTATACCGTCTACCTATTAAACGTAATGAAATTATCTTTTTTTCGTTAATGGATGCCTCATAGTTTACTCATTACCTTAATTTTTTAAAATTTTTTATTAGTAATATTCTCAACTATCAGCTTTTAACAACTGACCAATCAAAACATTAACACGCTAATTGGTGTAGTATTGGTAAGGGGAATTAACCCGGCAAGTAGGGTTTTTACTAACTACTGGTATATATAGTACAGGTATACAGGCTGACTTCTGCGTGCGAAAACCCACTCGAGGATTTCTGTATCTCTTCAGTTAGCTTATAAGAAAGAATTTGTATAATAGAGTTTTACCTTTATCAACTATTTGATTAAACTTTTCTAAAGACTATAGTTATGTTCTGAACACTATTTATTTTCAGGTCAGATCTGAACAAAAGACTATTAACAGCTATGTTAGATCCGGAACAAGTAATTTTTAGTAACAGCTTATTTGTTGTTTTGGAAGATAAGTACCCAAAATCGGAATGGCACTTCTTAGTGGTACCTTGGAAAGATATTCCTACAATCAGAGAGGTAACCTTAGATGATCTAGAACTACTGAAAATGATGGATATGTTCGGAAGGGAAATAGCTTATGAAAATATCGGGAATAATTCATTTTGGTGCGTACTTCATAACACTTTAATATTGTATTTTTTATTGGTATTTTGGGTACTTGAGAACAATCTGGTCAGGATGGGCTGCTTTCTACCAATGTTTATAGTCTGAGCACTGATAAACCCTATCATTATATTCATATCTATAGAAATTAAAATAAACAAAAACAAATTTCATATTAATGGAAATTGAAATAGACAAAAACAAATGTAATAATAACAAAACATTTTTATTTTACAACATGTATATATATATATTGTAATGTTCTCGTCCCCTCCAAAATTAAACAACCAGTTTCTTTTTCAATATAACATTTATTTTTCACACATATATAAATTCTCAGGTTGGGTTTTGACAACTAACATACATCCTCATTTATACTAAAATTAAACATTGATTGATTTTAAAATAAAGTCAAATATGGATGGCAAGCTAACCTTTTTATATATTACATGTTTCTTCGTTTGTGACACTGAACTCATTTTTCTTCACACATTTTCTTATGTTCTGCTAAACACATATCCCAAAATGGTAACACTATTCTTCCACTCAACTCAAGCTTTCTGGGAAATCCTCTCCCTTGCAATTCCAATAACTATTTTCCCTGCCGAACTAGATCTTCTAAAATGGTAAAGTTATTACTGGGTTTTACCCACTGGAGCCAGGATAGGATCTCTTCTCTTAACCTCTCTTCACTGACTGGCTGGTCACCTTCTCTTTAACCTATGTCCTCTTCACTCACTGGCTGGTCACCTTCTGCCATTACATGAGGCTTGCTTCCCCCACCATCTGTACATTATGTCAGTAGTTCGTGATGTTACCACCTTCGCGCCAATATTCAAAAACAGTATGTAATGTTGACATCAATTTACATTATAATATATATATTGTAAGAATTTTTATTTTACATTTTATACAAAATACTGCATAAACACTTAATGCATACAACACATATACGTTCATACTTTATAAACAAGATATGTACATATAAAAAATTTTTATTTTTATTAAAAAGACTCTCATCTACTTCAATGACTCTGCCAAGCCTTCCAACTTTTTTAGTTGACCTGTATAACATGTTATGGGCACAAACCTCTGAAAAATTTGTTCCACATTATCACATTTTTGTTCGATAGTTTCAGCTGCTCTTTTACCCACTGTATTGTTATTAAATGATGAGACAGCCCATAAATAAATTTTAAAGCTGTTGAAAAGGTAATGTTTGCTCCTCTCTCTAACCATGTTCTTTTTCTTATAGATACGTTTTTGTTACAACTGCTATGAAAGCATCTCCCCTTGGTCTTCCTGTCAAACTTCATTTCATGAACTTCTTCACAGAATTTCACCTTTGGAATTATCCCGATCTTTTGAAAATATTTGATAGCTTCTTCTTCTGAAGGAGGCAATTCCCACAGCGTAATAATATCTATTTCAAGAGATGACAAAATAAACAATGGAATAACTCACACGTGACAGAAGGATAACAACAGCTTACAGGAGATAAGAAGGGAGTTTCCGCCCCGATCAGATTCTTCACAAGTACCGTAGTTTGCAGATGTTTATTATCCTAATAACAAGTATTGCTATGCAATTTTTTAAGTAAATTATATAAATTAGTAACAAACTAACCAAGAGACAGAATGTTAAGACAATGTTAAATGTTGAATGTTAGAGAGAATGAATGGACATAAAATGTTAGAGAAGACATAATGTTAAGACATGTAGAAATGTTAGACATGAGAAGAATGTACATGTAAATGTTCGAGAGATGTAAGTATTTTTAGAAAAATTCCTAACCACAAAGCCTTATGTCTCCAAAATGCAGACAAAAAGAAAAAAAAAAAAAAACCATCAACGTTTCACCAATTCAGGTATCATGAGGACAGAAAAAGAGATACTAATATGCGATATTTGGATGCAGTGATGTTGGATTAGCTGTTCTGTCCTGTTGATGACAGAATTGATGTTTTTTTTGTTTTTTTCTTTACCTGGATTTGGTTTCTTGGCTGTGTAATCTGAAATTTTTCTAATTATAATATAGCAAATATATTTGAAGTTATATCAAAAACAAACTTGATTGAAATTAAACATTGTACAGATGCAAGTAATTTAATACGTTAGGAGAAGTTTGAATAAGGAGTAGGTGTTGGAACAGGAGTTGTTTGAAGGAATTTGTGGACGAGGATTGACGCATGGAGCTAGGAAGTGAGTTCCATAAGGAAGCAGCACGAAGGATTTGCTGAAGGAGGAAGCTTTATGGGAGGGAATATATAAGTCTATAGGTTGAGACCTAGTATTGAGAGAATTTCTAGAGGAGCATAGAGTAAGGAGTTCCAGGATGTAGGGAGGGTTTTTGGTTCTGAAGACTTGGAAAAGGAAAACACCAAGGAGGAATTGTCGTCGGGAAGTAGGATAAAGCCAATTCAACTCGGTGTACCAGAGTGAAACATGTGAACGCCTGGGGATCCCGAAAATGTATCTTATGAAACAATTCATGAGTCTCTTTAGTCTCATTTCCAGCCTGGCAGATAGCCCTCCATACACTAAACAGCCGTAGTCGAAGTGGGGGAACACAAGGGAGGTTACAAGGAACTGTGGTTTTTAGAGGAATACAATCACGGAATCTTAGGAGTTGTTTAAGAGCAGTTATGGATGTAATCTGAGAGATATGGTTATTCCAGGACAGGTTTTGGTCAAAGGTTACTCCTAGGTTTTTACCTGTAGAGAAAAATGGATGGGACAGTTATTGAGGTTAAGTAGAGGAAAGTAAGGAAGGGAGCTGATGAGATGTCTGGACCCGATCATAATAGCCTTGGTTTTATCTGCATTCAGTTTTAATTATTTATTTCTGCCCATCTTCATTTATTTCTTCCCATCTAATATAATAATAATTGATGATTCATAGTTCATGAATCAGACCACTTAAACCTCATTTCATATGGATAGTTTTTTTTTTATTTCAGTTTAATTACCATTATTAAACAAAAAAATAATTTAAAAATTCCTGGATCTACTACTAGAACTGACTAATAAAATACAGTGCAAATATCACATTAACTTTAGCATTTATAACTCTTATAAAGAAATTTTTTATTTTTAACCCTTTAATGACGATGGAGTCATATGTGAGTCAAGAAAGAATTGGATCCAGGTGACGGTGGAGTCTTATGAGTCGAGAGCCTTTCGTTCTCTTTCTCGTTAAATGAGGAGATCTCGTGCCTAGGAGGCAGTAGATATTTTTTCTCTGACAGGAGTTTATGGGAATTTTTGAACGATGTCTAAAATAAAAACGCTTAAGTGGTGAGTATGAGTATTCTGTCCTCAAGGTCACTCCATCCTTCCCGCTCATCGTCGCTTAAAGGTTAATGTATTATTAAAATACTAGTTGGCCCATCTGAATAATTCACACAACAATATTTGTCAGTGATCTGATGACAAAATATTTTTTTTTGTTTTCTGTTTTCATTACAAACCATGCTGATCTTTTGCTGCCTTAACAAGCCTGCTCCATCTCTGCCTGTCTTGGGTTTTCTTCTTTCAAGTTATCTGCACGCAGCTCTGTTGCATCTTTGTTAATTCTATCTATCCATCTGCTTTTTGGCCTTCCACATGGTCTTTTGCCTTCTGTTGAGGCCTTCGTTTTTATGTTGAGGCTTCCAGATGGATTACGACGAGCTATAATCCCCGCCCATTTTAACCTCTGTGCCTTCATAACATGGAATATTGATTGACCAGTTTCTGTAAGCAGTTCTTTATTGGTCTTTCTTCTCCAAGTATTAGTACTTTGATCCCAGATCGCTCCAATTATCGTTTGAAGGATTTTTCTCTGAAATCTTTTAACACTTTTTTCTAGGGTGCTGGTTAGTGGCCAAGTCTCACAACCATATATTAGAACTGAATTTATCAAAGCACTATATACCCTTAATTTGAGATTTTTTGGGATTTCAATACCTTTGAAAGGTAGCCCAGTAAAGTTAGGAGATAAAACAGCCTTAAAAAAATAAAGATGAAACTTGTCAGATATTGTTTATTACCCTCCCCATAATTACTAGTAAAAAGTCACAAAGAATCCCACATCGGGTTTTGGTGGGGGCTGGGAGGAAGGACAGAAAAATGATATTTTTTGCAAAAATAAAGTACTTTAAAAACTGGGTGCAGGGTGGCCGAATGGACGTATGGACAGCACCGTGAGTTGCCCAGCAAACAGATAATCGAAGTTATGTGATTAAAAAAGTGCTTGTTCGCATCCCGATGCTAGAGGGGATTTTAAATTTCCCGCCCTCACCCTCCGGCTCGAGAAAATCCTGTATAGCCTTTAGGCCTTTTAAGGTGAGGTAGGGAAGAACTAGAAAAAAATTAAGAAAAACAAGTACTTTAAAATCTCTATTAAAATTATCATACACATTTTTTTGATAAAATCAATGGTGGCGTAGATATTTATAAGGTTATAATAAAAAAATTAATTTATTTATTTTTATATTTTTGTAAATTTATTTTTATTTTTTTATTATAGAGATGAATATGGTGTACAGACACCGGAAGCTTCTCTACAAATAAAGTTTTAAAATAAAATAGAGACTGTCAATGGTAAAAAAAAAATCCTGAACTTATAAGAACATAAAAGCAGTCTAAAATTGCCTGATAAGGAAAAACTTTTTTAAATTAACTTATTTTTTTATTTAGATTGGATTATACATAAAAATGAAGTTATTATAAAAAAAGTGACCATAATATACTGGTTCCAGGATGGGATATCATGTTGAACCAACGATGTATAGGCTTCATCTTCATGTTCTGAGTACTGATTTTTGTGGCATTGGAATGAATTCAATACGACATTGGAATTCATTTACAACACCATTCTTTGTTGAATCAGAAAGTAAGTTAGCATATTTCTAAGCCATTTAACTACCAACAATCTTACTCCCATCAATATTTCTTCTCACTGGTCTTTAACAATTATTATATTTTGTTTTTTCTGTAAACACTAACATTTATTTTTGTTGTTTGATGAGGAAAAATACTTTTATTAGTTACTTAATGAAGAAAATGATATTATTTTTAAAATTAAATCTTCCGAATGATTTAATTTATCAATTTGGGCTAATTTACCATTATACTGTATCATTTTCTTGTTGTAAAAATATTTATATTTCTGACTTGATGTGTTAAAGTAGTAGAGGAAAAAAAGCTATCATAAAAATATAAATTGAATTGAATATTACTGCATTTAATTGTAATGGACTGTTGCGCCAATCCTTGCTCCCTTTCAGACCTCAGAGGTTAATTCCTCTATTTTCTGGCCATTAAGCAACAAGGTTAATGACCCATTGTAAATAAATACTATCTAAGACTTTTTTTCCTCTGTAGATTTGCAATTTATATTTATTTTTGACATATTTTCTTTATTGAATCAATGTTTGTTGTTGCAGGAGTGATTCAAGATTTGGAGAAGTACGGAAGAATAGATCTACCTTCGACACTGCAATGTAAGAATTTCTTGGCAACTCCGTTAAAGTGCTACAAATGTTCTCACATGCCGAAGAATGTCAATGCTCTTAACAAACATTTATTGGTTCATAAAAATAACTGTTGAAACAATAAAAAATGTTTAAGCCTAGCTAAATTGTATTGAGGTTTACTTTTTTTTTTTTTTCTAAACATATGTCAGAAACTATTTCATATGTTTTAGAAATTTTAGTAATGAATGCATCACTACTACAAAACATTATTTTTTTAAAGAATAAATATTATAACAAAAACTAAGTTCAAGGAATAAATGTATATTTTATTCAGTATTATATATTCAGTTGTTATCCTAAAGTTAAAAAAAAAAAGAAGAATTTAATTTGGCATATAGTTCATTTGTTTATATTAGTACTTAGTTAAGACATTTTAGTTATTATCATTGAGTGAACTCTACAGTGTTTTAATTATTATTTCTACCAAATCATAGAATGAATGAGATTTTACAACTTTATGAAATATTGGGAGCACAAAGGAGAGTTCCAAGAATGTAATAACTTGTGCTATCATTTAGCGTAATGGGAAGGCCCTTTCATAAAATTTAATTTCTGGTGGTTTATAGGCCTCCCATGAAGAGGGATCTTCTATTTTGGATGGAGGAACCGAAGGCTTTTGTGCATGCGACTGATAAAGTTATAGTAATTAAAGAAAAACATCCGAAAGCAGAATTGCATTTTTTAGTTTTGCCAAAGAAAGACATACCTTCAATCAAAGATGTTAAAGCGCAAGATCTGGATCTTTTGACAGTAATGGATGATGTTGGCAGGTTTATTTCTTTAGTATATGGGGGAGGAAAAAAATTTTGGTAATTGTAGTCTTATTTAAAAATTAATGTATTTACAATCTACTAAAAATTCAATCTAACAATGATTTATTTAGTAACTAATGGAGTAATAGAGCTTCTTAATGTTGTTTCTTCGATTGCTTAACGATAGATGTATTGAAAAGGAGTTGAATAAGTCCGTTATTTTGCTTCTTAACTCTATAGAAAATAACTACTTATGCTCAAATTATATTTAAAAAATTCAGTTATACAGTTTTGATTAACCTTTTAGTGATGATGAATGAGAAGGGAGGAGCGAACTTGAGGACTAAATTGGCTGACAGCTTTCCGTGCCACTGTGACGGAATACTTACCTCCTTTACTTAACACTTTACCATTTTTTATTTAGGGCATCCTTTCAAACTTTTTCATTTTGGTTTTTTACCTAAATTCCCAAATAATGTGGTATATTTGGACCCAAAAATAATTGTTTTGTATTCATTTATCACTGAAATTTTTCAAGTCTCCTCCGAAGGGCTCCAAATGTGTTTTTTGTCGCCGTAAAATGATAGGGACTCGACATATCGTCATTTCGTATTTCAAGCCCATTTTGTGTTTGACTTAAAAAATAATTGTTTTTTATTTGTTTTGTGGCCCCTTCAGTTGGACCCCAACATAAATGTTTTTTACTTTTTTATCACTGTAGAATAATAGTGGGAAGGCCTGAAATATCGTTATTTTGTATTTACCTAGCACTATTGTAATAGGGTGTATAAAAAAAATGACCATTTTTAACCAAATGTTTGTGTTATTATTTCTTTGATATAAAATACAATTAATACTTAAAGTATAGTCCATTGTTATCTACCGTCATTAGACATCTGTTAGCCAATTGATCGAACCCCTCTGGTAACTTTCTTTGGGATGGCTATCAAAGAGCTCTTGGATTGCAATCTCAAGTTCAGTTAAATTATCAAATTTTTTCGCTTGAAGAAAATGGGCCATGGATCTAAATAAGTTGTAATCCGATGGTGCAGGATCTGGACTATATGGTGGATGAGGCAGGAGTTTTTCAGCCAAGGATTTTTCAATAAATTTTCACAAATTTCTTACCTATCAGTTGATTGCTGAGGGGTAAGTTCGTGAGTGACCTGTCTACTGCTCTTTTTCACCTTCCCCACGAAGAGTAGATGGCGACTAACAGTATCTTTCCACACACCACACTCCATGGCAAGTTCACGAGTACTCGTGGACGGATTCGACTCAACAGCTTCCTGCAGAACCTTATCAATATCCATTTATGGTCGCCTGGAGCCCTTTTTCCTTTCCAACGTCTTACCTCCACTGCTAAAATTTTCATACCAACGCCCGCTGTTCAAGGACACCTTCATCATATTTAATAATTTCACAAGTTGATTCAGCTGTTCAGAGAATGTTCTAAAGGGATTATTAAGTATTAAATAGGATTAAAATATTTGAAATCTTGAATTTAATAAAATGGCAATTTTTTTTTATATACAGCCTATTATGTTTGGCTACAAATATTTGTTTTGTTTTAGTTTTCTTATAATTTTTGAGGCCCCCCTGAAAGGCCTCTAACATAAATGTTTTGTGATTTTTTATTGCCATAGAAAGATTAGGGGAGCCACCTTTGAGAGCCCCGATTGTTGTTATTTTGTATTTATCAAGTAATGTGGTATGTTTGGCTCAAAAAATGATTGTTTTGTATTCGATTATTTTCGCAAAAATTTGGGGCCCCAACATAAATATTTTGTATATTTTTATTGCCGTAAAATGATTTCGAGGCCCCCTTTCTAAGTCCCAACTATCGTTATTATATGTGTATGTATATGTATATATATATATATATATATATATATATATGCCCCTTTATCGATATATAGTCCTGATAAGGGGGCCCCACTACAGACTACAGGCTAGGGCCCCAACAGGAGCCAGACCAGGTCTGATCCCAAAATCGAATTGAAAAAATTTATCTACTGGTAGGAATTTTTGAACTTAAAAGGGGGATGGTTAAAGCAGTAACATAAAAGTTTCAAAACGCAAAGGCCATTGTAAATAACCTGTTAAAGTTAAATGTAAATTATTAGTTTTGATGGGAATAGTAAATATTCTTCCGCTTTTATTGGGAACTAGGTTATTTACACTCCTGAATATTAAAACAAAACCCCGGCACTGGATATAGACTTTTTGAGGGTGTTTAACTGTCGTTGGGAATTTGGGAATCTAATACCTTTTGTGACACTGAGTGAGAAGAAATAATAAGAATATATATATATCTGAAATGTGGGACTTAGTAAATACACTTTGAATGAATTGACTCACCTGGTTTGTTATTCTTCAATCGTGAGGCATATAGGACAACTAAATAAATAAATGACTTTTCACTCCTGTATAATAAAACAATTTATTTTACAACTGTAATAAATGAATGTATAAAAGTCTTATAACTGTAGGCTTGATTTCTTAGTCTTCAATGTAGTATCTCTCTCTTCTGAGAACCTCCTTTCTTCCTGTCCAGGCCTAGCGTCCTCTCGCCTCCGTGTCCTAGCCTCAAGTGCCTCTTCAGCTGTTGCTTCCTGCTTTCCTTTTTCCAGCGTCCTTCTTTATCGATTGTTGTGATATGAGACTTTTCTATGAATAATTTGTCCACTGCATAATTGAGTACAATTCACAGTGCAACCTCACATTCCTATATATTATATATTCCTTCTCATTCCCTCACACAATGTCACATAAAGGAGTAATACAGGGGGCTGTCTACTACACCATTATTTTACGAAGATGTGGAACCGTCGGCTTTCTAATTTCTAGTTTTGAAACATTTCTTTTTTTTAATAACTTTTGTTGAAGTTTTAGTACAAATTTAAGCAACGGAATATTTTGGTCACTTGTGCATGAAATTCCCTTTCTTTTGACACCTCGTTATTCAACATTCATTTTTGAGGGCAGAAAATAAGATCTATGCCACCGTACTTATTTTGTTGACCAGTTTATTGTATAGTGAATTCAATGCGCTGTAAATAAATTAAAGTGAATTACAATAAATTGTAATAAACGTGATCCATGAAATATCGTTTTCATAAATGTGGACCACAGGAGGTGAAAAAAACAAAACTTTCTATCGCTAGTGGGACGAAATGAATAGCTAACGTATTTCAATGTATTCATAGCAATAGATTGGTAAATAAACATGTTTTTGTTTACTTCTCGTTGCCATGACGTTGTGCATTATCTTTGAAGGGCATGCTTTTTAAAATACAAATATTATGCTTATTTTTGTTTGTTTTTTAAACTATACTAGTTCATTGAACCACAGGCAGATCTACAGGGGAGACGGGTTTAGGTTTACTTCCCTCCTCCCCAAAAAGAATAGTGAAATATATCCATGTCTTACGAAAAAAAGTATTGTTGTATAATCTTTACTTTGGGGCGGGATGGCCGAATGGGCTAAACCGTGTGCACAGCACCGCGAGTTGCCCAGCAACCAGATATATGAAGATTTGAGAGACAAAAATAAGTACGAGTTCGCGTCCCGGTGCCGGAGGGGATTTTAAATTCCCCACCCTCGCCCTCCGGCCCGGGGAAATCCCGTATAGCCTAAATGGCAAGGTAAGGAAAAGAACAAAAAAAAAAAAAAAAAAAAACTAGTTTGTTTTAATATAATATGTGGGTGCCTAATAATTTTGGCCAAGGCTGTACTTTCATAATATCGCTTGTATTAGTTCTTATAGTTGTTCTATCGACATTAGCGCTAGTTTTCACTATAACGATTGTAGCTAATACACATTAGATAAGCAAGATATTGCAATAGGTTCGGATACCATGCTTTCCAGTTGCAGCAGAGACTCCACTTGCACGTCATCAGCCACGACCTCTGCGGCACTGGTATGAACACCATTTGGCATTGGAACTCCTTCACTACAAGATTCTTTTTAAGATCTGAAGGTAACCTATAGAGAAGACATTGAGGTATTAGTTCCGATTAGCTTCTCCAAGATGGCGGCTAATTTCAAGATCACTTCGAGCTAAATTGGTTTATTACTTTCAATAATGAACCATTGTAGTCTTCCAAAAAATTTAATTCCTCTTCAAAATTTGAGGTTTTACGTTTCGCTATACTTAGAATTCGAAAATTGAATAAAAAAATTGTCAATCTTATGCCGTCCGCGGCTTTTCTCTGAGATTACTAAACCGTTTTTTTATTTTATTTGGAATCAAAGCCAGAGGTCACCCGAGGATGATCCTTCTATCTCGACATTACTATCCGCCCTTTCCTTTCAAGATGACGACCGAAAAACCTGTGTTTGTATAGACTGTAGGATCTAAACGAATGTACCAATTTCAATTAAATTTGCTTAAAATCTATTTATCGATATCCTTTAAACTTATCTATATAACTTTCAACGAAAAGAAGCATGAAAAAAAATTACAAGCCGTGGTAAAATTAGATTTCTGACTGACTCAAGAACTATACACTTTTTGTTGGTGTTCTATATTACTCCGTGGTACAGACCCCTTTTTATAAAATTATTACCATCCACCTGAAACTTCATAAAAAAAACTTTATCTCATCGTAACCTAAAAATATTTTTTTAAAAAATTCTCGAAATTGGGGCACTTTCAATTTGTAGATCGGCAAACTTTGCCTATCTAATTAGGTACTGGAAACTCATGAATAGCAATTTCCTTTCTACTTGAATTGTAAGATAATATGATCACAAAGTCGAAAAAAGTGGCCTTGAAAAAATAAAAATAACGAGGTTATATAGGCCAAAAGTCCCAATATATTTGTAGGCCACCCTTTTTTTCGATTTCTTGATCAAGTTATTTAAGGATTCAAGTGGAAAGCACTTGTGTATTCATGAGTTTTCAGTTCCTTATTAGATTGAATGCACCAGTTATGGACAGTTAGGTCTTAAAATGTAAATAATAAGCTTCATTGTTGATTTAAAGGTTTCAGTTTTTTCTAGATTGAAGAACAACACCCTCAATTGACAACTGTATGAACAAAGTTCCCAAAAGGAAATTTTAAAATGCCTATCATTGTTGTTTCTATAGTGCTCTTGAGATCAGTGTATTTCATACCTTCCTTCTAACAGTTTTTTAAAAATTAAATTGAACATTTATGTTGTCTTATTTTTATTGTTAAATAAAAATTTATAATTTTTCTGAGGTGTATCCATTACTGGTACCGATTCTCTGTCCATTACTAGAACAATTCGGGGTGTCCGTCACTAGTGCAAAAAGCTGTTTTTTTAAATTGAGATTATACCTGCATAACTGAATATTTTTTAAAATTTAAAGTGCTAAATAGAAAAAAGGAGACTCTAGAGATCCTAAACGTCCAATGGAGAAGTTATACCTGTAATAATTACGGCGGCATAAGTAAAAAAAAATTCCTTAAAATGTACATCACTGGTGCGCTTGGCCTAAATAGACAAAGCCTGCCGACCTCCGGATTGAAAACTCCCCAATTCTGAGAATTTTTGTAAATAAAACATTTGTAGGTTACGATCAGATGATTACGAATTCAGGCGAATGTTAATAATTTGACAAAAAGGGAGCTGTACCACGGTCTATATGGTTATTTTAAAGTTTACAAAATTTTCTAAAACATAAAAAAAAATTCGTTGAAATCGAACGATTCATTACAAAGATATGGTATTCTAAATGATTTTTATATGTTTTACTGCAAAGCTTATATCCGTGATTTTTTGAAAGTTTTACATCATCTGAAGCAATGTTCTCTATTTTTTTTATCAAATTATAAATGATGAAAAAAAAATATTTAGACCAATATTAGGAATCACCTTCTATTTATTTTCCTTTATGTTAGATGGAAAGTAATGTTATTTTGGTGTTAAATTATTTGAAAATAATTAAATATTGTGTAATAATTTGTAGTGCTTTCTCTTTAACTGCACAACAACCGAGCGTTTACTGAGGAAAACAGACAAAAAATTTGTTTTTTCATGGTATGTTTTTCATGATGATGGAAAACGTACTCGATAGACATGTAACTAAAGCGCTGAGCTCATCGATGACAAATCCATCTGACCGTTTCTATACTCATTGATGGAAACCATGGATGGAATTCAGCAGTCCAGGCAAACTCAGCATCAATTCCAGTGATGAAATCTATCAGTCGATTGAATCCAACATGGATGAAAACAAATAACTTACTTATTAACATTAAGTTAGTGTCTGAAACTTACTGATCGGTAGTTAGGTAGACTCGGAATGGTTCAGAGATACTGGATCTGTAATTTTGTAATTATGCAAAATACACGTTGCCTGGCTACCTGATAAACTGAAGATCATGAGTTCGAGTTGTACCTTTAACTCTGGCATAATCCTCCGCCCTCTCTCCTGGACCCGTATAATCTAGTCGACAAGACGAGTTACTAGAGGAGGGAGGCGGAATAGTAAGAGATAAATATTAAATTATAACTTTTTTTTACATATTAAAAATAAATCCTGCCTCATTTACAACCAGATTTGATACGCTATTGAATGGAGGTCCTTCAATGACATTTTGAATAATAGGTATTTTTTTATAACTAGGTTTTTTTATCTGTTACTGGAAAAATGCTTTTTTTCATTTCTTGTAATGACCAACAATCAACTATCGCGATAAGCTCTTAGCCGTGGTGTGTCATTTACGTCTACTTTCGAATATACTCGGGTTGTTTGGGGATTCACTTTAACAGTGCTCGAAGTGATCTTGAAACTAGGCTGTACCTTAGATTGGCAGATCGGAACTTGTTCCTACATTTAATTACTGTTGACTTTGAAAAAATATTATTATTTTTGTGAAACAATAGAAGTGATCAAACACCTCTCTAAGAGGGGCTTCGTGAAGCTGCCGTCGCTGAGACAGTGCCTGGGCTGGCTAAACGGGCCTATACTCTGCCACTTTTGCACTTACAACCCCAGCGATGTCTACATCCTCAAGGACCATGTCAAGGAACACTTCAACGGCACCGACTTCTTCCACTCCTCGGTCAGGAAGAAGGGAATGAGGTCACAATCCTTCAGCAGCAGTAGCTCCCTAAGAGTGTCTTCCCGCCTTACCAGGTCAAAGTCTGCCAATTCCACCAGCAAAGGATACCTTCCATCCAAAACCAAGAGCAAGAGCAGGTACAAGGCCAAAGATAAATACAATGTGGCTCTCAAGTTCTCCTTCCGTTGAATAATAATAAATGTACTTATATGAATCAACTTTTTCTATTTAAAACTAAATAAATTAAACTGGTAAATTATAGTAAAAATGCTGCACCAAAACGACCCATGAATGGTCTTGGGAGTACTCTATAATTAGTGGCGCTGATGGCTGTACAAAAGATTCTTGATGGGTGGCTGTGAAATACATTAGATACCATCACAGGCGGATCTACGGGGAGTGAGGTTCTCTTTCTGAAGCCCTCCTCCTTCCAAAATGGTAAAATGTAACCGTGTTTTATCGTAAAAATATTTAAAAATTATCTATTAAAGTATTATTGTTCGTATAATTACATTTATTAGGACTTAAGTATCACTGAAACCCCACTTCATATATGTAGTTAGTATCTTTCTTTTTTCCAAAGTAATTATCATTATATAATAGGATGTATAAACAAAATTGACCGTTGTTCTACAAAATCGTTGTATTATTATTTCTTTGATATCAAATACAATTAATACTCAAAGTAATAGTCCATTAGTATGTACCGTCATTAGCCATCTGCTAGCCAGTTGTTCGTGTTAGGATTAATTAATTGATGTTATTTATTATTGTATATTCTACCTACAACACTGTTACTGGCAACACTGTCAGATGTGCCGTCAGTGATCACAACAATGTATACTCCCTCGATATGGCTTCTATGTTTGTAGTGTCCTTCCACAACAAATGTTTCTTTATTGTCTGTGTTTGTATCGTAAAGAAACTATAACCATTATTAACACGTTATGGACCCAGTTTATGATGCTCATGTAATCGTGTGTGATTATAAGAACAAAGAAGCAATGGCCAAAGTAAGTTCTGCTGTTCCTATTCTAGTCGGGTCAAATTATAGCAATTGGGAATTTAGAATCAATGCAATATTGGGAAAAGAAGAGATTAAGGATGTGCTAACAAAAGAAATACCGAATGATGAAAATACCAAGAAAACATTCCTCTTACATGATGCCAAAGCTAAAGCTATCATTATTGAAGGACTTTCTGACAAACATCTTGACTTAGTGAAGGATTGTACAACTGCAAAGTTAATGATTAAGGCCCTAAAGGATGTTTTTGTGAGAACTACAGCTTTTTCTAAACTGACATTATGGCGTAAGTTACTTAATCTAAAATATTCTGTTGTTGACAGCATGGAAGATCATTTCTTGAAATTTGATACTATTATTAGAGAATTAGTGGACATGGGAACACAATTTGATGAAACTGATAAAATATGTCATTTATTCTTGACATTGCCTGAAGAATTTGGTACAACTGTTACAGCATTAGAGTCAATTAAAGATGTAAAAAAATGTTTTGTTAAGGCGAGACTACTGGATGAAGAGTTAAAAATTAAAGGTAATAAGCTAGAAGAGGAGTTTACCTGGACTAAATTGTTTATATTTTTTTTTTCATATTGCATAATGAAAGAAATAAATGGAGATAATATAGCTTGCTTTGAAGAATATAACAGAAAAAATGTTCCCTTTCTGTATCTTAATTGACCTGATGAACGATTGAACTATAATTAAAATGTTTGTTTTCATCTCGCCTTAAATATAAATATCATAACTGAACTTTCAAAGTATTAGGAGATTCATTGTTACATGAGTTTGCTGTTGGTCTGCAATATTCTTGTGGTTGAGCTATGATGATTAATTTTATTTTTATTTACTTATTTTTAATGAAGGGGGTTTGTTGACTGTTGACTGCATATCATGGCTGATAAGTATTCAGGACACAGTCATTATAAAGTTTTGACTGGTGCCGACGTTTCAACCCATACATAAATGTCATCATCGTGGCATATTTTGAGCACTGAAGGTATTCAAGTACTCGTACTTGAGTTCTTGAATACCTTCAGTCACCTTTTTTAATTATGTTAATGATTTTTATGAAATTTACCTTATAGAACACTACTATATATAAGCATGAAACAAATTTTTTTTCATGAAACCTAACAAGAACTTAGATTTAACTCTCACATTATTCATAACTTTTATCTGAGATCCTTTTTATTTCATTGAGTCCAAGATTTGTTTTAGTAAAATTTTATTTTACAATAATGATTATGGTAAATTAATAAAAGTAATTAATTCTAGTAGTGTGATCTTTCACGTTTGCTGCCTAAATACAGTAGTCATGCATGTTCATAAATAAACCTAGATGTTAATGTAATAAGGTTTTGATGAAGAAAAACCTAAAATAAAATATAAAATAGAACCCGAAGGTTCGATGCCGACACCACCAATCGCTTGTTACACACCTCCCTCCACCGTTCGCCGTCCAAACCCAGTCCCTTCAGATCGGCTTTAATGCAATCTTCCCACCTTCGCTTCGGTCTACCCCTCGGACGCTTACCATTCGGCACCGCACATATTAACCTTTTAGGAATTCTCTCGTTACTAAGCCCAACAACTTTACAAGCCCATTTGATTCGCCGCGATGAAATTACCTCAATTATATTACCCGGATACAGCTCACGCAATTCGGCGTTGTGTAACCGTCTGAACTCTCCGGTTAACTCATCCTTCTTCGGTCCGAATATTCTACGCAATACTTTATTTTCAAAAACCTTAAGACGCTGCTCATCCCTTAATGTAAGCGGCCAAGTTTCGCATCCATAAAGAACTGTAGGCAAGATAATTGTTTTATAGATTCTAATTTTTAAGTTTCGGGACAAGAGGCGCGAACTAAGTAGTTTTGTCACAGAAAAATAACAAGCATTCCCCGCCTTCAGTCTAACCTTAATCTCTTCTTCAATTTCGTTTTTTCTAGTTATCGTAGAACCTAGATACCTAAATTTATCTACCTGTTCAAACATATTACCATCTATATCGATATCACCAGTAGTATCGCCATTTTTGCAGCTAACCATATATTTTGTTTTATCCACGTTTATTTCGAGTCCTAGTTCTTTACCGGCTTTCATTAACGTTGTCGTATTTAGTTTTATAGTTTCAACGTCTTCGCTTAACAGTACCAGATCATCAGCATAGCCCAGCACGGATGTTGTCCCGCCCAGATCCAACCCTTTCTCGGTTCGCATTACCTCCCTAATGGCATGTTCTAATGCCAAATTGAACAGGACAGGCGAAAGAGAATCCCCCTGTTTTAAGCCCGAACGAACCTCAAATTTTTCGGACAAATTATTACCGATTCTAACTTTATTGAGTGTCTCCGTCAAGCACATCCTGACTAGATTTACTAGTTTTTTTGGAATCCCCTGCTCGATTAGAATATTATACAGTTTCTGGCGGTCAATAGAATCGTAAGCCTTTTTAAAATCTATATACAGCTGGTGAACAATGCCGTTATACTCCAATTTTTTCTCTAATATTTGCCGTAAAGAAAATATTTGATCAATAGTCGAACGATTCCGTCTAAATCCGCATTGGTAGTCTCCGATAATTTCCTCGGCGTATTCCGTAATTCGACTGGTTAAGATTGAAGTGAATATTTTATAACATACCGGAAGGAGTGAAATTCCTCGATAGTTATTACAATCCGTCCTCGGACCCTTTTTGTGAATCGGAATAAGAATAGATTCTTTCCATTCTTCAGGTAATTTCTCGTTCACCCAGATCTTTTTAACCAACCGATGTATTTTAGAAACTCCAGCTTCCCCGCATGCCTTAATTAGTTCAGTAGGAATATTATCGATTCCCGCTGCTTTATATGATTTTAATTTTCCGATAGCTACTTCAACTTCCTCTTTACTTGGTCCTTCTATTAATGGTTCAGCACTCTGGTACTCAGAAGGAGGACACAGATCATAATTTCCCGAATTTAAAATATTGTCAAAGTGGTCCTTAAACTTATTCAATATGTCAACCGGATCGGTCAGAATATTGTTATTATCATCCCTAATTCCAGACGTTACGGGCCCTACATATTTACGTGATCTGTTTATGCCTTTGTACATGTCTCTTACGTTATTTTCGATTCTATTAGTTTCAATTTCAATTATTTTATTTTTAAGATACTCCCTTTTTTTATTTTTGAGCAATTTTGTCGTTTAAAATATAATACTTTTCATATACTAATACTTTAATTAATTATATAATAAATATAATATATAATATAATAAATACCTACCCGAAGCACAGCAATGTCTATAATCTCAGCTATCTATTATTATTATTATTACAGCTACCTATTATCTATTACAGCTAATTATTATTATTTATTATAATTATTTCATCTGTTTCAGACCTATATTGTAAATTGAAAAGTATTAGTATAAAAAGTATAATATAATAAATATATAATATAATAAAATATATAATATAATAAATAATATAATATATAATATAATAAATACCTTTAAAAAATAATTGTGTGGCAAAAGGAATTTTATAATAAAATATTTTAAAAAATTTACAAAGAGAAAGTGAAATTATCTAATTTACAGTTTTGTCCTTATCTACTATAATAGATAAAAAAGATTTTGTAAATAACAAATATAACTATAACTGAAGATTGTCAATTCATCCTCTATTATTTATGATTTAATCGTTATTATTTGTATGAAATAAGTCTTATTTTGTAACTAAAACAATTACAATCTTAAAGCAAAAACTGTGATCTCTACAATGAACCTTTAGATGTTACACCAGCATACACAATGATCTAAGACATCAAAACAAGAATATTACTGTTGTATTTTCATTATTTCAATTTTTTTACATTAATTTTACACTTCATATAATATTTATGGAGTGGGGAATAAACACATATAAAGTAATTATGAATAAATAAAATTTTTATTCAATAAACTGTTATAGTTATAAATTTTTGTATTGCAATTTTATGTTTTACTGTTCCAAATAAAAGCATAAAGTTAGTTATCCACAGTTTTTTTTTATAATTTAAGGATTAATTATCTAGTTATTAGAAATGTTTAAGTATAATATTCACCATTGTTGAACAAATCAACTTTCTTAATGTTTAAGATCCCTCTGATGGTTTGTGTATGCTGGATGATTAAG